AAATGCTGCCGTCCAGCCCGACGGGCCTACACAGCTACCGGAATTTGTGCATCCAGCGTATGCCTCCCCATTACGGAAGAATGCTATTCGCCTTCTCCGACTGCATCCTGGTGCTATACAGGATCCAATTCACGGTGAATTTGTTGTTTCGGATGTCAAGGACAAGACAAAATACGAAGCTGTGTCGTATACCTGGGCTGACGAAAATGGCGATTGCACCAGATGCAAGAATGTCTTTCTTGGCGCGTTTTGGGACGTTTGCTTCGTTACCTCTAGTTGTGAGGCTATTCTGCGCTACTTAAGGCATGAAAATAACGAGACACTAATTTGGATCGACGCAATCTGTATCAACCAAGACGACAGTAAGGAGCGATCGCATCAAGTCCAGTTGATGCGGAACATCTACTCCAATGCAGCCCAGGTTTTAGCATTCGTGGGAAATTCTTCGGAAGACAACGATCACGCGATGAGGCTTATCAATTTTGAGGCGGAGTATCTGACCGACTCAGAGAAAGCCGTACTTCGAGCATTCTTCAATCAACGCTACTTCCAGCGGGTGTGGGTGATACAAGAAACTATCCTTAGTAAATCTTTAAAAATCTTTTGTGGCACAAATCCACCCATAACCTGTAGAGAGAATGATACTCGTTGGGAACGACTGATATCGGAGGACCTTGCGCCAGCATGGCTGCGGTTCGTGCGAACCAGGAAGAGCTTCAAGCCAGAGGAGTTCATCATACCCCTTTCAGCCGCAGCGTCTTGTCGGTCCTCAGATGCGAGAGACAAGGTGTTCGGGCTCCTCGGGCTTGTTTTCACCCTTTCTCTCATCCATCCTGATTATTCCCTTTCGGCCCGAGAGGTGTTCATCGGCATTGCCGCCTTCTTTGTTCAGCGGTGTGGACTCTTCTCCGATGTCTTGAAGTATGTCTCTCATGAGAGCGGGTGCTTTACTCTTCCATCATGGGTGCCCGACTGGACCTATAAGTCATCCTCGATCAGCACCTATCGAATTTCACAGGCTATTCTGGAACTCAACCCTTACTATAAGCACAGATATAAGCAGCATAATCTAGTGACTGGATTTTCAGGCGAAAATAATTCGCGTTCCATTCTCATCGACCGTACGTACGCGTCTTTACGGGTGCAGGCCGTGAGGGTCTGCGATTTTTCTGACAACGAAGTTTCTGCTCTGCAAGTATTGAATCGCAGAGTATTTGTGTGGCACAGGGAAGATGTATCAAAACACCCTATCGTATTCATACCTCCTCGAGATGTCCCAATGGACTCTACATACAGTGTATTCTTTATCGAGGGAGCAAGCGAACCGGCCATTCTATCAGATTGCCAGGACGGGAAGTTTTCCTGCGTGACTTCATGCTCTATGCTGTTAAGAACGGACGAAATAGCACTGCCCGGACGAGGCAGAATTCAAGAAACAGTCTTAGCGAATCCCATGATCAACGAAGAGGAGCATGCTGTTTTCATGACATTCGGTCTCGATTTAGACACTGATTGGCATGAGTCATGGCAGGGCTGGGAGTGGCATAAAAACAGGGCAAATTGGGTCTATAAAGACAAGAGGAAGCTCAAAGCTGTTGCAACTATGCTCGAAGAGATGCTAGTGGTGAATAGCCTGTTGCCGTTGTCGGGAGGAGACGTCGTAGACGTTCTGTACCTCCTTATATCTCTCCTGGGGGATTACCAAAATCAACTGGGCATGTCGCCATGGTCCATGGAATCGACATCAGAGAGTCCCGGGACCTCCTCCGCAATTATGTTAGCAGAATTTGGTAATAGGAGATGGGTTAAGCTCAAGCCAACCCTCTTTTATTTAAACCCTAACATGGGAATACGTCAGGAAGGCCGAGTATTGCTGGAGGAACTGGTTTTCTGGGGAAGGGTCAATAACTTGTTCTTCTCAGACTATCAGACCTGTGATCGCAGATTAGGCCGGAAAAGTAAAGCCAGTTTTCGGGACTCGATCATTAAAGTACAAGACGGTATGTCCTCTGATGGTACTCTCATGTCGTTTTATCCAGAAGCAAGGGGCATCCCCATGTTACAGCGACTTCGGTTATTGTTGATTGTTATTCGATACATGGAGTCTCTCCACGAACCTAATTCTCCAGACAAGCTTCAAAGCGCAATGAACTCCATATTATCTAAGGTTCAGTCTCAAGGTCTTCTATGGAAGTGGGGAGAGTTCAAGGATGTACTTCGGCCACAACTTAAAACGTATCCATCAAACAAAATGATATCCAAGGCCATGAAACTAACCCTGTCGGACAAAAGAAGAACATGGTCGTGGCTCCAAGTAGAAGACCCGAGTTCTTTCACCGCTCACACAGTCGAGATTAGCTAGGCTACTTAATACCATAAAGGTAGAGCCGTGCATATCTGCCTCTACATTGTTTTACACCATGCGATAACATCAGCTAACTGTCGAGGTGACCTATCTCAAAAGGATCATGATATCCTCGGTCACCGAGAGAGTTGATAGATTAGCATATTCTATTCAAGTCTTATATAGCTTGTTAATAGTTAGTCAGCCATATTTTATCACAAAGTAGCATGTTGACCTCACCTTCCGTCTCCATTATATCTACTACAACTAGTTAGCCAGCTACAAGACGGCCGGACATCAAAATTACTATACTCTTCTCCTATTTGATGGTATATATACAAACGCAATACCCAATCGCATTTCGAAGACTAAAAAAATTTCATCAAGTCAATAAGATCATTGAACATTTGGTCAGTGATCGCCTGGTTCCGATTCTGTAGAACATCTACGTCTTTTGACAGTTGAAGAACTCTCTTAGTCAGTCTCTACCCTTTCTACTTGTCTCTTCTAAGAAGTCTAGCTTTGATTATCTACTCTGTTGTGATCCTGTTTTTCTCTACCATGTTTTCGGCTTCTATACACATACCTTATCTTGAGCAGCTTATAGTCATACTCTTCATCAAAGTCACGACCACGACACATACACTAGGATCTCGTCAGGCTCCAGTTGTTGGATTTCTTCCTCGATAATCTGAATAGGCTCATCTGGCCGAGAAGAAACTGCAACTTTGCCATATCACATTTTGCCTTGTGTAGATGACATCCTGTAACCATATGGTAAACTACCGAGGCAGCTGATCGGGTATCATACGGCGGTATTCTTTGTCAGGAGTAGACGTAAGGGAGAGAATCTAGGATTAATCAAGTCCTGAGCTTTAGACCTACGATTTGGATGGTAAAGGTCCAGTACAGACAGAGAAAGCCATTGTTGAACACGTTCTACTGTGTAAGGATCAGGCAGACTATCCAGCCGAGGGCCCTCGGATATGATCGAAAGGCCACGCATCTCCTGATTAAAATGATTGCATGTCTCTATAATTCTGGCCTCGGCGAATTGATACCGCTGTCGACTTCAGATATAAAATGTCAACGCCTTCCTACCCGCTTGTAGTCTGGACAGCAAGCCTATGCTGATCAGAACATAGCTTCCCGGGATAGCAGTTGCGCCGTCGTGATGTGGCCTCGGCAACACGAGTCAACATTGGGATTCTAAGTGTGACGGTAATCTGCATACAAACAGCACCACAGAATGCAGCGAAAATTCCTTCAGGCATTCGGCAATGAAGAGAAGAGAGTGTATCAATGAGTGAGTGGGGTATGTAACAAGCTAGTCCGCATCGTTGTCGGTAAAGTCCTTCCTGCCGTCAAAGCCTTGTTGTCCCAACAGGCTTTGGCACTGGCCGAACACCATTGGGAGCAAATGATGGAGTCAAATACTTGACTGCGGTCAGTTCGTCAACTCTTTGCAATGCTTCAATTCCTTCACGGGCAACGCCTTCCTGCTTTGCACATCTCACGCACATCATCGTCACCCCATCCCTGCCTTCTTGCGCCCTGGCTGGCTGATGACTCTGCGTTGTTACCCCGGTAGTTCGGGGCGTGTCACTGCCCGGTGGATATTTCAGCAAAAACGTCTCATCCGGCCCAAGCATCAGCTCCTCCACCACATTCGTAGAGCTCTTTGTCGCCTTTGATATGGCTTCTCCGAGGGCGAGCGCTACGAGTGGGAGAGCGCGCATCGCGGGCGGCAGGCCGTTCTGCACGTGAGAGAGCCGGGCGAGCTTGGAGACTTCGGCTCGGAGACTCGGCCGTAGTTTGTCTGCAGGCATGGCTGCTGGCCGCCTCACCGATTGAGACTTCACGCCCGGATTGCCATGAATCAATACTGGACAACAGGGCCTGCTGGCGCGGCTCCTGCTGAGTTACTAGTAGTCTGGACTGGGGGCTCGACACTCATGTCAGAAGGTGAAGACTGGACGAGGTGGAACCCCCGTCATCGGGTAGATACCTGTTCAGCCCGCTCAGATAGACGTGATAGGCACTGCAGGCACTGTAGGCAGCAGCCAAGGCGCGCTAATGTAACTCGTCTTTATCGATTTGATCAAGCCTTAGCTGAGCTATGTATACTGCAACTTAACAACAACGATCACTCGAAATCATCTATATAGACTGATATTAACAGTTCCCTCAAATGCTAATGACTGGGGGCCTCGTGTTCATTAACTGACATCATCGACGATGCGTCACGAGGCAAAGCACCTTGTGCGGACTGTGCCCGATCGATTGACTGAAATCTGCTATACCTTGGTAGTCAGTACGATATTTGAAACAGTGCCTACGACGCTTGGCCCAAGACCACAATCGCCGCCTTCTCATTCGGTGAAGAACGTCACGGAGGAAAAGGCTCAGGATCATGTGCAGCGAGAGATATGGTGTCAAAGTGTAATGTAAGTGATTCAATACCGAAGCCATTATGTTCCATGGCAGCTATGTGATGTCTCCGCAAACAAATAATCGCGCCCAGAAGCAGAAAATTTCCAATCGACTATCATGAAGTAGCATGTTTAACAATGCAAAAAAGCAATCCAACTCCAGATGATGCAGCACTCATATATACATGCACACATTACCTTCCAGTCACTCGAGCTCACCGAACTCATGCATCACCGTTCGCATCTCCGTTCGAGAGCGTCTTCGGCTCCTTCTTCGGGGTATATAACCTGAACTGCACAAAGATCACGCAATCCTCGACAATTGTTCCTAGAGACCCAAGAAGCCATGGCAGGGCTTTGATAAGATAACTTCCCTCCTGGGAGTATGCCACAAGGCTCGCGCCATATGTGAAGTTGCCAGTCAGGGACAGGAGGAAGAATAGCAGAGCGAGACCTTGGCCCTTGTCAGTTTGCAGCAGCCAATCGCAATGAAGTGTCTGAACGTACCTTCACAAGACTTCTCTCTGTAGTTCTTGATGATCTGCGGGATTCGCGCAAACAGATAGCACACCGCGCTTAAATAACCCAGGGTCAAGCCCACAATGGCGACCGTCTTCTGGGCGCCGGGCTCCTCTGGGTCAGGGACGTCCGGGGCCGACTCCCACGCGCCCATCTTGTAGCTCACGAACCAGCCCGCCACGCCCACCCCGTACACGGCGATCAGACTGAGCGCGTTGTGCAGCCACGGGTTGCTGTCTGGCGTCTCGTCCTCGCCGGTGATGATCCGCCGGATTGGCTCGAGGTTCGAGCTCTGCCTCCGCTGGGAGTGTCGCCTATGACTTCCCGGCAGGCCAATCGAGCTTGACCGCCTTCGGTTCAGGAGCGGCTCGTCTTCGGCGGCCTCTGTCGCATCGATGGCCGCCGAGGAGAGCCTGCGGCGGCGGGAGGCGCGCCGTGCGTTCAACGTGTTGTAGTAGAGGCATTGGCTGATGAGAACGAGGTCGGCAATGCAAAAGTAGATGGCGAGTGCGACTGCAGTCGGGGCAAGGTGAGTCGCGAGGGCACCTAGTAAAGCATTGTCCGTTAGCCTCCAGATACAGAGTCAAATTGAAGAAATTTCATATGCCGGTAGATACGGTGAAGAGTGTCGCGAAGCAACGTATAAGGTCCCCAGTGGTAGTAGAGAGGTATGACAACGCAGAGCATTGTCGTAGACGTGAAAATACACACCTGAGAGGTTGGCGACATCACCAAGGAGCCAGACGAAGAGGAAAGCCATGGATAGGCCATCGGCACTCTTGGCTTTATAGTTGGTGATGAGTTGCGGTAGCTACCATAGCTTGTCAGCATTGTCAGTGAGCTCACGAGCAGAGGTGAAGCCCTACCAGAAGACATATCCATGCCGTCAAGCTTATGCTGCCAAACACCCCAGACAGCGCCTCATTCGTCGACGGGGGCCGCATGGTCGCTGAGATAAGGGAATCTAGAGTAGCCATTCTCACGGTTGAGGTCGAAAGCACCAGTGAGGTCAATCAATTGAAGCAGAGCAGAGCAGGCAGCACACCTCCCATATACGCAGGAGGTAGCCTTGAAGATGAGCAGGTGGGCTGAGTCTTCAGAGTGAGGAGGAGCATCACCTGGTCGAGGTTGGTGGCTTGGTATTCTTATCGCGGGCTGCAAAGATAAGACAGATGTGGGGCTAGCGGGCGGGTGTGACATAAGAGGGTTGCAAAAAAGAAGGGGTCCTGCGAGCGATGTACCAATGATCATCTGTTTTTATGTCAGTTCATGCACAGGCCAAAGTGAGCATGTGAGCACAAAGAACAGCACAGTATAATTCGTCTATGTTGAACATTGAAATTTCAATACTGTAATTGTGATTTCACAATCTAAGGCAGGTAGCTGAGAAACTAGAGGTTACCAAGTAGTGGCCATTTGAAGCACAGACAGCTGCTGAAGAGCCGGGTATCATGAAGCTATTACAAGTTGCGCAGAAGTCTCGCCGAAACAGGATGTACTACTGTGGTTTCTAACGCACCACAAATGAACCTGGGCCAACCCCGATAGTTCTCGATAAGCTCCTCAGAAGCAATATCGAGTTCACGAGAGGTGTGCTGACGACACACATCCTTCCAAGTCTCCTTCACGTCATGGCTCACTTTGAACTCCCAAGTGCTCTGCCAGGAAAGCGTTGTAGACTCTTCAGTCACACGATATCGAAATACACCTGCGAAATGACCACCGGCTTGATACAGCTCCATAAGACGCAAGACGGGCATGCGTCTTGCCGCATTGCCTGCCGCTTGCAGGAGCTCATTGGTGTCATCCCATTCCTCGCTAGGCGCGATGACTCCAGCGGTAAGAGTCATCTTCCGCAAGTCCTTCCAAAACGGTAGGGTTAAACCCTTCTGTGGTTCGAAAAATGGCTCGAAAATATGGCGAGCATCGCAGAGGTTTGCGACATTAAGTTCTTCGAGGCGGCGACTCAGCTTGGCTATGTTGCCTGCGAGAGGCTTACGATACTTTATCCTCGTGACTTCATCGTCCTCGTAGAGGTCCTCATATTCAAAGGCGTCATCGTGCTCATAGAGGCTCACTGACTTTAGCGTCGCAGGCCAGAAGAGTATGAAGAAGGCGCTGGCTAGAAATGATGAACCGTCAGTAACCTTTCAAGCACTATTCGCCCAGGCATTGATTCACAGCAACATAGACATACCAGTGTCAACGTCAGCTTGAGCCGGGGGATCTACTTGGTGAAATGGCTCGTATGTGATTCGGCTCAAGTTGGGTAGGCTGGAGAATATGGTGAGGAGTGCCTGGGGAGAGAAGTTGCGGAAGTTTCTTCGTGTGATAGAACACCACGTAACCACCTCGACGCTCGGGAGGCCAAAGGTGCCGGCATATTCAGCGCCCTCCACGAAATCAAAATGCAAATCAGAATCAAAGTACCGCGTGTCGCCAGTCGCAGCATCAAGCCCATTCTCTCCAAAGAGCTTCTTCCGGTCGCTAGGAGATCGTGCACTGAGCTCTAGCTCGAGCCCGCCAGGTGCGACCTGATCCATCGCCCATTGGCCAAGGACGTCAAAAAGCCCGGAGATGGTGCTGGTGAAGACCATGTTGTTGTGGCTCTGCTCTGCTTCCGTCTCCGCCGTCCGACTTAACTTCTGCGGATATGTCGGAAGCTTGATGCTCAGCGAGACCTGCTTGAGCCATCTGCGACGCTCACCTCGAACCGTATTTCCAAACTGTGAGACGCAATGCGATGTGATTTGAAGCGATTTGAAGGTTGCTTGCTCGACAACAGCCTGCCATTCTTTGCAGACGACCGCATATCCTGCCAGTGTGTGCCTTTTCGCCTTCTTGTCGGTCAGAAATTGCAGCACCATATGCCGGAGCTCGGTCGGTAAGGAGCCCCAGGATGCCATACTGAAACCTTTGGGCCTTCTCAGTGGCCCCTGGAGATGAGTGCTCTCGAGTTGTTCGATGTGCGATGCGAAAATCCTTGCACGCGACAGCTATCAATCCCGCTTAAATAGAGCTTCATAGCTCTTGTCCTCGTAGTGAAGTGTCTCGCTCTTCGGTCGACGGGACTATTTCAAATAGCTAGACCTTTCAGGCTACGACGTCGCACGATTAATCCGAAGTAGCATGATGAGGACTACAAGCGTAGTATTCTGGTACTCAGATGGTGAAATGAGTCCATCAACTATAGTGATTCAACAATGAAGCAGAAGAGACGAAAGTGGAAATGGCTCACTGGAGCTCAGCTGCAAAATTGTGTGTCCAATTCGGCTGGGTCTAGACTCTCTTCACCTTATTTGAGTTGCTTTAGCGGGCTGCATGGTGCCTTGTCGCTACAATGCCCCGCGACCACTCACTCTTCAGTAGGTATCCTCCCGAGAGAGCCGCAACAGGTGCGAAGTTAGGTAGTTGTCTTACCCGCATAGCCTCTCGTCAAGTCATCTGATGAAATGCAACAGCGATTTCATGATGACGAGAGAAGATAAGACTTGCAAGTTCAATCAAATGAGCCGGCCACTTCAATGTACCAACTCCAATGGAGCCGATAAAGATGGCTCCCACGTGGGGTGACCCGTCACCAATCAATTTATAGTGATCTACAGAGGGGGGTTCCCTGAGCAACAGTCGCGTCTTGACGTGGCTCAGCCGAACGAGTGGTCAGCCTCACAGAGCTCCGAAATGAAACAGGGCGCTTGAGAGGCTGTTTCCAAGGCAGCTCTCGAGCTTCATTTATTTATGATCAACTATCCCATGTGGATAGACTCGACTCTAAATCGTTCACTTCAGTATATACTCACCAAAATATAGCTGTGATGAAGTGGCACAATATCGTCGCGCTTGGCCTTGTCGCCGTCCCGGAAACGCTGGCGTGGGGAGGTACAAAAAGTTCTGGGCCACATTTTCACAGGTCAGCTGGAAGCTAACGAGTGAATGCGCAGGTTTCGGCCATATCACCGTTGCCTACATCGCTTCCAACTTCGTCCGCGATGGCACTGCAGCCTACTTCAAGGACCTTCTAGCCAACGACACCTCAGATTACCTCGCAGGTGTCGCAACATGGGCGGACTCGATTCGATACACCAAATGGGGCCACTACACCGGTGTTTTCCACTTCATCGATGCGAAGGACGACCCGCCGAGGAACTGTAGCGTTGACATGGAGCGCGACTGCAAGGAGCAAGGGTGCGTGGTGACGGCGATCCAGAACTACACTTCGCAGCTGCTGGACCCGAAGCTCGAGGCGTGGAAGCGGGCGCAGGCCGCCAAGTTCGTGATCCATTTCGTGGGCGACATCCACCAGCCGCTGCACACCGAGGACGTGCAGCGCGGCGGCAACGGCATCCACGTCAAGTTCGAGGACGTCGACCTCAACCTGCATCACGTGTGGGACACGAGCATCGCCGAGAAGCTCGTCGGCGGCGTGCACCGCAAGCCCTACGCAGACGCGCTGCTGTGGGCGAACAAGCTGACGGCGGAGATCAAGAGCGGCAAGTACCAGGCGCAGAGCGAGACGTGGTACGAGGGCATGGACTTTGGGGACCCGATCGCGACGGCGCTATACTGGGCGAGAGAGAGCAATGCATACGTGTGCGAAGCAGGTGAGATATCTCGTACCTCTCCCTCCTTTGAGCAGGATACCCTGCCACGGGGAAGATCTCTCTCTAGGAGGAGGCGTAGGGCGATGCTGACGATGAGACGAAACAGTGCTTCCAGAAGGCCCCCTTGCCATCGTGGGCCAGGAATTGGGCGGCGACTACTACGAGAAGGCAGCTCCCATTATCGAGGTGCAAATTGCCCGAGCCGGCTTCCGGTTAGCGAAGTGGCTGGACCTCATCGCATTGATGAGCACTCTGGGGGGCGTTATAGATGAATTGTAAGCTGGGGATTCACAGGAGTTCGGGACTGGGTCAAGGAGGCTCTGCAAGCAACACGAGGTGGCTAGGTCGTAAGTTGGGACTTGGGGCAGGAAGCAAGAGTGGAACATGATTGCGAGCTAGCTCGGAATTCGGCTCGTGGCAGTGTGTATACGATTTGCATAGATGGAGCCCTACGGTCTCTCGGATCCACGACGATGCTCTCAAATTCAGGCTCGTATCCTCCTTGCCTTTGCGTGCTTGTGTGCATGCATGCTTGGCCCCTTGCAGATCTGTTGGCGGCGTTTCTCTTGGGAGAGGCCCTGGGACAGTCCGCATCATCTCTTCAATCCTTCTAGGGGGATTCTTCAGGCCTTGGCGAAGGGGATGGGGGCACGTAGTCATTTCCAATCACTGTGTTGGTAAAGCAAGCTAGGGACCGAGTAGATGGGGTTTCCTGAGCCGAAGTCTCCGAGAAGGAATACACGATATACAGGGCATCGGGCGTGCACGGGGTAGAATAGTACGGAGGCCGCAAGCCTGGCTGCTCTGGGTGTCTCATGCCCAGGCGTAGCGAAAATGGTCCTTGGTAGCGAGCCAGGGACGCACAGAAAAGGTTTCAATTCAAAGTCTCTCAGCCAAGTTGGGATGATTTGTGTTTCTCAGAACGGCTGCACGTGATGTAGGTGTTTTGTAGAAGAGGAAAAGAGGCCTGGGGCTGTGCCTCCTGCTTTTTAGGGGGAGGCACTTGAGGCTGTCTCACCATAGTCACTTGCAGGGCAGGGTTGTGTGTCAGCCTCCCTGCAAGAAAAGCTTGTCTGAGCAGCCTGTCAGAACACTAGGCCCTCCGAGGTAAGCGAGAATAGAGTTATTATGAACTAAGATGAATCCAACCTTAATTCTCTGAAATTGCTGAGGCTACCTAGGTATGATGATGATGATGGATGGGTTGGCAGGTTGACGAGGTTGCGATGCCAAGTGCAAGTGTCAATCAAATTGGCTAAAGTGTAAGCGTGCAACCTCTTCAACATCAGATTAACAGAACAATGATCAGAATATTTCTAGATCAAGTTGAGACAAGAGCTGAGAGACTTGAGTCGAAGATAAGGACATGGAAGAAGCTCGGATGCAGAGCACGCCGACAGTGTTATTTTCTGTCTACCTAGACAGCGCCGATGGGATCTGGACCGTAGCCCTTGTAGGATGAAGTCATAATCAGGACAGAAGGCAACTTACATAAGAAAGAAGGCTAACCTGCTTCATGCAGAGAGGGGCACGGCGCACACTGCAAAAGAAAAGAAAGTAACAGCATAGGGCAGGCTGGGAAAGTCGGCAATGGTTGCTAGTTGAGTGCTGGTTATTACGGAGTTGTGGTGCTGGATGTTGAGACAGCCGAGACGCTCAGGGTGTTTGAACTAGGGCCGGGCCCCTCACAGTCTCTTTTGAGATGGCAGTTGGGCAGGGATTCATCTCCAAAACTTCGGCCGACACACCGACGCTCTTCACTTTCCCTTTTTCTACTCCCTTGCACACCGCACAAACAGTCCCTCCATTCGCTGGCTGTCTCAGGATCCCGACACAGAAATCGGAATGCGAGAGTTGGAAGAAACTCTTCGCCCTATTCAGTCCCTGGTCGTTGTTTGCAATTGGGCCCCACATGCACTCCCACGCCGAGCGCCATCTGCCCCCGTTGAGACTCCATCGAGACTCCATCGAACAGGGCATGGCTTCCCACGATTTCTAACTCAGTCCAGCTTAGAGTACGCCGTCAACACTCTAAGTAATCTTGGCATTCGGGCGCCAAGTCTAAACGTGTCAAGCCTCTCTTGCGGCATGCCTCTTCCGTGTCAATCGCACAACGGACGTCTTCGGCAGTCCACAGCGCTCCACAGGTCCTAGCTATCCTGTCTTGCAAGGCTATCTGCTCGATCATTGATTGATTGATTGATTGCACAAACCAGTTGACGTGTCGGCTCTCGTTTATCACTTTCGGACGAGACGAATCGAGTCTAAGAGACCAAGCGCCTTTCTGCTAGGGCCTACAGTGTGCCTACGAAACTTTTCTGTTTCGACCCTGTAATCTTGCTCGATCATTGCGTCTGCCGCATTTTCCGAGTACCGTGAACCTTGAAGGCCCTCATTTATGATTTCATATGGCTGCTCAGTCGGGGCCGATCAGCTTTGCGTGGAAATCCGAAAATCTCCAGGCAAATCCTGAACCGTGCCGCGACTGCTGTTCTCGGTCGTTGGTAATTAGATCGTCGCCGGGGACTCGATGTACTGCCACCAGCGGGAGGAGTATCGTCGAGTTCACACAGCAGCGGCTTTGGCAATAGCTGCAGCTCCTATGCAACTCATCATTCAGGCGATGCTCGACCATTACTGTAGAACCTATCGTGAGAGAACTGTGCCCTTTGGTACTTTGGCCATCATACAAACGGCGCTATCGATTCGAGTACCCCGGGCAACGGCTGAGTCGTTGGCCATGGGGATGCGGTCGGACAACCCGCGCTTAAATTTGGCGTCTCGTCTCGCCTCATCGTCGTCCGGGGTCTGGAGGCTCGAAACCCTATTTGCCTGATCTACTGGAATTGGAGCGCCCTAATTGGCCCAGCGCTGACGGCGAGCAGGGGTCCGCACAAGGTTCTCCGACAGTTGCAGCCGCATCAACGTCAGGCAAAATCTTGTCCGAACCCCCTTGAGGCCCCCCTGCCAAACGAGCCTGTCTCTCAAATCAAAGTACTCCCTGGCGCGAAGTTGCACTGCTCATGGACATGTCGACGACTTCAGCTAGGCCAGACAAGAGACGAGACGAGGCCCGCCTGGCCTGGCCCGCCTCGTACTGGTACCTGCGCTAGTACAACGCCAGCCTCAGGATCTCCTTAACATGCCCATCATTTCGCGTGTACCCAGGGAGCTGGCCCGCGACTGCAGCCCTCTGTCGCATCTTTGACTGTCGGAGACAGGACTAGTCGAACCCTTGATCCATCATGGCTCCTCCTGCGGCGTATACTATCCGCCATGCTCTACCCCTCTACTACTCTACTACTCTATGACTACGGTAAGGCACAGCACCGCCCTGGACGCACCGTCAAGCGGTAGCACGGCAAGCTCAAGCTGGGTCCTAGCCCCCTAGCTCCCTACGGCAGGCTTGCATCTTGCTCCTCCTCCTCTCCTAGCTCAAGTACTCAACCCTCGTGCCCCCTGCTCCACGTTTTGGGACCGTGGAGACAATCCTCCCTCGCTGCCCTCGATGCCCCTTGTTGTCATCGCGGCCACGATGCAGGTCTACCTGGTCGCCAAAAGCTTGGCGATGGAAGGGTCCGAAACGGCGCAGGCATCTGCATATAAGACATAACTCTTGGCCCAACCTATTTTATCTGTCCTCCCTCATCTCTTCTCGACTAAGCTTCTTCGTTCCTTTCGTCCACCTTTCTGTTCCTCTACGCTGGTTGTACCGTTCATTCGTTCCTTTCTTGACCAGTTGTAAATATCCTATTTTCTTCAGTTCAGCTGTCTGTGACCATTCTCTTCAGCACTTCAGCTACCCCCGGTCTGGAACCATTTTTCAAAAGCTATTTCGCTTCTTCTGAACGTATCCTCCGACACGCCACCGATCGACGTCGTCCCCGATACAATTACATTGCTCCGAATTTAAAAGAGGTTGAGAGAAAAGAAGACGTCAAGATGATGATGAAATCTGCACTGCTGGCCCTCATGGGTCTGGCCGCCATCACCGAGGCTTCGAGAATCCCACGCCACGAGCGCCTTGTTTCTCGACAGAACGGGAGGAACCGAGGAGGCAACAACAATAACAACGCCGGAAACAACAACGCCAATGCTGGTGGCAACAACGCTGCATCGGAAACGTGTTTGAATGCCGACGCCGTCCAGACTGGTTCCGCTTCTACTGGTCAGCAAAACGGCGTGGCTGCGGATGGTCAGGTCAACTCTGCAACGTAGGTGACTTGTCAAGAACGCTGGCAGACAATATCTAACTTCTATACAGTGATGAGGCCAACTTCATCAACTTCTGCTCCGGCGAGACCCTCACCAACGGTCTTCAAAACACCGACGGATCCTGCAACGGTGTCGGTAAGTAGTCGCAATTCACTGTGCTGGGACATCACTGATGTGTGTAGTCATGGGCAAGATTCCAGCCAAGGCCAACATGGTCTCGGCCGTTATCATCAATCCTCCTCTGGGTGAGACTGTTCAGGCGAACACGGACTTCAATGTCACTGTTCAGATCGCCAACATGGAGCTTGGTTCCTTCACAAATGCCACTTCAACATACTACTCCGCCCCTCAGGACCTTAATGGCGCAGGCCAAATCATTGGACATTGTCACATCACCATCCAGGACCTTGGAAATACTCTGAACCCCCAGACTCCTCCAGATGCCACCCAGTTTGCTTTCTTCAAGGGTATTAACGATGCTGGTAACGGACAAGGACAACTGACAACCCAGGTCGCCGGCGGTCTCCCGGATGGCAACTACCGTATCTGCACCCTAAACGGAGCCGCAAACCATCAGCCCGTCCTCATGCCTGTCGCCCAGCGTGGAGCCTCAGACGACTGCATCCGAGTCGTGGTCGGTGACGCTAACAACGGGGGCAACAACAACGCGAACGCCGGCGGTAACAACAACGCAAATGCCGGAGGCAACAACAACGCCAATGCCGGAGGCAACAACAATGCCAATGCCGGCGGAAACAACAATGCCAATGCTGGTGGCAACGCCGGAAACGCCGCTGGAAATGCTGCTGGAAATGCTGCTGGCAACGCTGCTGGCAACACTGGAGGCAACAGGGGCCAAGGCCGTGGAGGCCAGGGACAAGGTAATACCGGTTCGGCTTCCGCTTCCGCTTCCTCAGATGGTAACAATGGATCCAAGGCAACCAGCGTGGCCGAGGCCGCAACTAGTACCGCCGCCGTAACAACAGCGTCCGCCGCCGCGACGACCTCAGCCGCTGCGTCGAATGGAGCCACTGGTGGGAACAACAACGCAGCGGCTGGAGGCGCCATCGGGGGCATCGCTGCCCCGGCCGTCGAAGACTCGGGCGACAAGACCCGGCCATTCTCGGTCAACGGGAACACTTTCGTTAATAAGGGTGCTGCCGTCCAGCGTGCCTGCGCCATCCAGAACAACGCGTGTGCCGACGCCGTCAACTCCGGAAAGGTCACGGGTGTGACTGTCGGCGATTGCAACACTCAGGAAGAGACATGCAACGCCAACGGGGGAGCATAATTTCTTGTCTTGTGAAGGCCGTCACTGCACAAACCTTTCCTTTCAGCCACTACATGGAAATGATATCATCTGAAAGAAGGGACGCCGTGTTCTCTCTTCGGCTACGGGATGAGAGAGGTTCTTGGGGGAATGCTCGCTGGCGATACCCCTTTTCAGCGTCAACTCCTTTCCGGAACTTATCACTGGCAAGCTGTGCACTGGCGTGTATTTGGGTCATACAACAAAGGCATCATTTTATGTTCTAATGACGGAGTTTCAAAGACTACCTTTTTTTCTGTGCATGTAATTTAGAGGGGAGAGTGGTCTGCGTTGACTTGCTGGGGATATTTGCGCTATCTAGAAAAGCAATGGACGGTGCTACCAGCATAATTTCTTTTTGAATATTCAGTTTTTACAAGATGCATTTTCGTGATACCTTTACACTCGGTAGAATCAGCTCTACAGCCAGTTCTGAGCTGCACTTACACTTCCCCCATTTCCCACAAAGAAAGGGCATCTAAATTGGGGCTGACCCCAAAACCCGGCCAAGGCGCCAAGCGTGGCGCCGCAATATGAGCAGGAGGCCAGGGAGATCCGAGCTCTGCCTCGCCCGCGTCTCAAACCCCTGGGGCTGCTCCTCTGCGATGAGACGCCTACTGAACCAGGAAAAGACAGCGCTGGGGCCCAGGCTTTTGCTTGCTCACTGCTGAAATTCATTCATGCGCCCGCCCGCTAGGAAACAGCTCGTGAAACAGAAGCAGATCGGCTAAACGCCCTGCCGTGCTGCGGCATATACACTCTCTGCCCGTGTACGGCACCTGGTGCAAATGCTTACGGGCATTCCAGTCCAATTGAGAACCGCGAAGTGCGATCGCTAGGCGACTATCCTGTCTATCTGAGAAGGGCTTCTTACCTGGGTCTGTCTGATTGATGAGCGGCCGCTGGCAAGTCGATCAGAGTACGTAGAGACCTGCCAGCCCGAGTGAAAACAATGGCCGTGTGAGGATGCATGTCAGTCTGCTCGTTCGGTCGCCTCATGGGTCGGCTTTCCTACTGTCGTTACGCTGTGTCTAATCATGTACTGGTTGATAGACACGCGCGATTTGAGCTGCTTGTCTCATCTCGGCGCCGAGTGTTCAGTCGATCACGGGCGAGCCAAAATAGAAACAAGACTTCTTGGCCGCATGGCCTACGATGCTTGGAGATGCTTGGTTGAGCAAGTCGACAAGTCCTGTGTCTCTGAAAATAGCACTTGCTTTGCACCAGGACAGAAGTTCGAGTGTTGGTATTGATGCTATAGAAGCGAAGCACAATGCGTTACGATCCTCACAGGACCAAATTCGCAGCGATCATACAAATCTTCCTTTGTGCAGGAACTCCTTCTACCAGGAAAATATTCCGACCATATACTGGATTCTTGATGCGTTATGAATCGAGGCATTCTGCTGTGCCCGCCCACACATGTGCGCATCAATCATCGACGGTAGTATGACAATTCCTTCCTCAATTGCCAGCATATCGATGGAGTGGGTGCTGCCTTAAGCTGTCATACAGTTCCGCAAGGTTCTATCTGCGTCAAAGGGACTCAGTGGCGCACGTGGGATGGGATGGCTCAACCAAGTGCTTGGGTCTGGACGGCTTGGCAGAACTTCCTTTGCTGAGGACAAAGGAAGGTCGTGGATTGGTCTCGAGCCTCGGATTGGCCTGCTCGTTGTCTTTGCAGTACAGCCTTGGGTCCAATGCCTCCGGTCCCACGGTGGCTTCAAACGTTGCCGGAACAAATAGCTTGGGACGACTTGAAGATCTATCGTAGCCGTTGGATTTTACAAATGGAGCATGTATGCCGCAACCCTGGGATTCGCGAGATGCCATGAGTCAGTGGCATGCAGAGATTCTAGTTCTGGCCAGTTTTGGACAAAGAAAGGATGTTGCAATCTTTGCAGAGAGAAGTCTCTCGACGAGGACAAAGAAGATGGTCTGCAAACAACACCCGCCAGGTGGATGTGAACTTGAGCAGCGTGGTTAGCCAAGAATGTATCACGAAGAAATCAAAGACTGTCAAAGGAGGTTCAAGCCATCTTGGCAGCAAATTGGTTGGCCAGTTTCTCTTGTCTCCCTCGCAGCCTCTCAACTCATGTGTCCGACGATCTAGCCAATGAGTCTAGCTCCTAGAGTCTTTGACGGGAGGGCCGTCAGGACGATGGTGAGGTTTCTGTGACGGATTGGCAGGACAACGAACATAAATTAGATATTGATCCCCTAGACCGTATGCACCGTCTTCCAGCCATCAGCGATCTCAATTGAGCGAAGATGGCGTCTCTTGTGATTACTGTACTGGCCTTCTGGGCGACACTTGTCAAATGCCACTTCTCCATCGACTACCCCCTCGAAAGAGGTGACACATTGCACACTAATCCCATGCAACAGCTTACCTATCCATGTTGGTTCCAACGATCCAACTGATGTCTACAGTGAGGCTAACGCGGCATAGGCGCCGGCATTGGACAAGACGTGAGTGCATCGAACAGAACGGCCTGGCCAGTCGACGGCGGCTCCCTGAAGATCACGGCAACACACAAGGCTAGCGATGTCTACATCGCACTCGCCTTTGGCGACTCGATCCCCAAGGCGTGGTATTTCAATCACACGTTGACTCCCGCGCCTCTAAACCAGACGGGAGCTGGATCATTCTGCCTCCCATATGTTCCCGTGCCTTCCAACTACAACGTCACGGATGGGACAACGGCGTCACTGCAGGTTATAATGTATGCTTTCGACGGGGCTACGGTGTACGGTGTAAGTGTCTCCAGAGCCCACAACTCATGTTGATACGCATTCTAATCTTGTGATAGTGCTCAGACATCGTCTTCAGTGACTCGGCCAAGCTTTTGTCTTCAGTGGACTGTACCAATATGACCGGTGTCACAATTGAACATCTCGTTACGGACGATGGCTCAGAGTCAGGAAGCTCGACCAGTGGTGCACCTCGAGGACCGCTGCAGGTATACATCGGTGTCATCGTCGCATTGACAGCTGTGGGCTTCAGCATACTTATGTGATGGGTAGTATAACAATTGAGCTTGGCTATTGCTTGTGTGGGCTTCGTCCTGATTGAAAAGTCATTATGAAAAGGCGACATTCGTGACCAAACCTCTTCGAGCAACTTGATGAGAGTGGTATCTTCCAATTTGTTCAATGCCAGACTGTCATAATTCGACTGATCTGCGAAAAGAAAGTCAAGGGCTTTCGAGATGGAGAGGCAACCTTGGAAGAAAAGGCCAGGGCAGGATTACACCACTCCATTGGAACTGGCAGGCAGAGCATCCAACGTCAGTCACATGTATAACATTTACTCATACCATGTCTTGAGAAGAGACATGGATTTCAGCAACAAGAATATGCCATCACATTTCGCTTCTCTTTCAGACCGACTTGCAATTTCAGTTTGTTCCATGGATTCCGAAGCTGTACTGTTGATTGTTATGGAGTCCGGATCTATACTACCGAGCTATGACTGTTAGATGGGGCATGTTGAATCTGAAAGCCCGGCTACTCCGTGTGCGACGGCGGAAAGCTCTATCGTGTTTAGAGAAAAAGGGCTCGTGGCGAGGAGTCATCCTCTCGGCCTCGTTTGGATCCGATAAGCCGGTCAAGATTTCTCCCCTTGTCCGATTTTATAACAATATTTTGTTATGTTTCCTCTGTATTATCCCTTTTGGGGTTGTGTTCTGAGAAGAGTATCGCCTCCTCTGCTCTTAGTCTCTGTGCAGTTGGAACCGCATGTGGCTAGAGCAGATAAGGCAGACTAAAGCTGGAAGTGGCGAGCTTTGCTATCCTTCTTGAGCTGGATTTGCGTGAGTTCTTTACGGCGGCACTTCAGATAGTCACTGAAGAGTCGTGATTACTAGAAGACCATCTCATAGTTGGCTTTTGTTGGATTGCAACTATCCGTGCAGGAGTTGCCGTATGAGTCCACGGGCTTGGTGAAAGAAGAACTTCAGAGGTCTTACAGCAAATCACCGCTTGTATTTTCCAAGTCTCCTCTTCGCACTACAGCCCAGCGTATTCGTTTCCTGTCGCCGTTCGTGATTTTTCTACGTATCTAAGTGGGTTTAGAGGGTGGGCCGAAGCTGGCCAAACCCCCAATATCCACTCCCATTGAGGAAGACCGAGAGCGAAGAATCGCACATACGGACAAGGGGGTGAATTTAGGTTTAGTTTCAATATAGAGGCTATTCTCATCTCGCATGTGCCGCCTTGGGAGATCTGCCAAGCATTTCTACAAGCCATGTGATTTCGGTTCTTCAAGCCATCTGACACGCGACGCGACTCTCTTCGGTCAGCCAGAGCTTCACCTAGCTCTCAGGAACCCAGGGCCCAGACGGTCATATGCTGTCATACCTACTTACACAAATAGGGACCGTCCGTATCTTAGAAGACTCGGTGAATATGTGTGTGGGGAGGGCGTTGTAGTTTGGTGGAGGCGCCGCCGCCAAGTGGAGAGGTGAAGTGTGTGGAGATGCGGAGTAGCTCGCGGGTAACCTTTCCCAGGTCTCGCTCGACCACATCCGGCCGACTCAACACCACCAACTTGGTGCTAGCCGCCAGCCATTGTGTGCTAGATCACCAGCCCTGCACCAATTGTCTCCCTATCAAGGGTCTTACGCGTTCAGCTCGTCCTCTTTCTTGCCCTGGAGATGTGCTGTCCGGTGCAATGATGCAAGTGCGGAGGCCGCGATCCCTGGCAAGGGGAGCACGCGTCGAAAATGTTCATGAATCATGTCCCTCCTCTGGAAGCTTCATCCACGAGTCGACATGCATTGCCGCCCTGATTGGGGCCTAGGCCCCGGCATCTAAGGGTCAATTCAAGCCACACGGAAAACGGATCCTTCAACGAGCTTTAGCTTTTTGCCCAGAGCCTAAACCGCCAGCCGGTCCACGAACCTGGGACCGTCACGTTTACCTCCATCCAACTACATTTGCTATATTTCACTCTGGGATCTGGGGTAACTGTTTTCCAATAGAGATCCCCGCAATTACTTCACAGGGGCGCACAGATTTGAGTGAAACCCGTTGTCTCTATATAATACCGCCTCGCTGGCCTTTCCCTGGGTTCCGGTGCAGGTTCTTTACGCAAGTCGGACCTCACACCCGTGCTGCGCAATTGTCTCCTCTTCATCCTTGTGTTGTTTCATCTGTTCCACTTTATCGACAAGATGGCTATGTCATCTGACGAAAGATCCATTCAGACGGATGTGAAGACGAATGCCCAACATCTTGAGCAGGATGTCGATGTGGCTAAGGTCGTCCACGCCGACGGCACCGTCGATTATATCGACGCCCGTGCAGTGGGAGGAGATTTTGAGGAGATGCCTAAGGGCTACTTTTACAGCCCACAGTTCATCGGCACAGTCGCTGTAAGTTATGCATTCAACTCTGGGAGCGAGTCGCTGACATGCCAAGGCACAAATGCTGGCCAGCATTTGCGCGTATATGGGATGGGTGCTACCGGCAAACACACTCAGTCTGATAAATGCGGACATCGGTCCCTCTCCTAACATCAACTGGGTCGCCACAGTTTGGACACTAGGCAGTTGCATTGGATTCCTGCTTGTAGGTCGTCTAAGTGATATCTTCGGACGCAAGTGGATGGTTATGGGAACTACGACTCTGGGTCTCATTGGCTGCATCATTGGATCCTGTGCACAGAACATTGAGATGTTGATCGGAGCAAACATTTGCAATGGTATCGCCGCTGCGGGTCAGCTTTCATTCGGCATCGTTCTTGGCGAGCTTGTCCCGAACAAGTACAGAGGTCCGATTATCTCGCTCGTTTTCTTCTCCTCGATGCCTTTCGCCGTGTTCGGACCTGTTATTGCGAGATCGTTCATCGACAACACCGCCTCACGCTGGAGATGGAGCTATTTCATTGGAGATATTCTGAGTGCCATCACCCTGGTTCTGTACTTCTTCTTCTACCACCCACCTAAGTACAACCAGCTTCACGTTTCTGGCAAGACCCAGTGGCAGCAGTTCAAGGAGATGGACTTCGTCGGCATCTTCCTCTTCATTTCTGGCTGCGTGCTCTTCTTGATTGGGCTTTCATGGGGTGGTGTCACTTATCCATGGGCTAGTGCTCAGACACTGTGCACTTTATTGATTGGAGTCGGCACGCTGGCTGCTTTCGGCATCTACGGTAGGTTCTCCGACACGTTCTCCTATGACGGTATACTGATGAAGCACAGAGGGATTCTTCTGCAAGAAACAGCCCTTGATGCCCCCTCGTCTGTTCAGGAACGTCGGTTTCGTGGCTATCGTCTTCATCGCTTCTGTCGGCTCCATGGTCTATTACAGCTTGACCGTGCTGTGGCCAACTATCATCACAACCGTCTATACCACTGATTCCATCAAGGTCGGCTTGCAAAGCTCTGTTGTCGGCGGTGGCGTCTTGCTCGGTCAGCTCATGGGTGGTATTTTCCTTTCGTATGTGCCAAAAGTGAAGTATCAGTGCATCATCGTATCTTGCATGGTCATCGCTTTCATCACGCCAATCTCTACCCTGGGTCCAGACACACACTCCATGGTCATTGCCCTGGGTGTTTTGGCCTGCACCTGTAAGTTCTCATTCACTGCCCTTTCAATCACAAACTAATCCAACCCGCAGGTGTCGGCTTCATTGAGAACATCTCATACCCAGCTGTCACCCTTGTCTGGGAGCCGCAAGACATTGGACTTGCTAGCGGTACTCTCGGATCCATCCGCGCCCTCGCAGGTGCCATTGCGCAGTGCCTCTACGTCGCCGTTCTGAACAACAAGCTCCAGGATAACATGCCGAAGTACGTAGTTCCGGCAGCCACCGACGCCGGCCTGCCATCGTCATCGATCACCGCGCTCTTTTCCGCCATTACGGCCGGCGACTTCTCAACTGTTCCAGGCATCACCCCCGAAATCATCGAAGCAGTGACATACTCGCTCAAGATCGCTTACTCGCAGAGCTTTAAGATTGTGTTCTACTGCACGATCCCCTTCTCGGTTATCTTGTTGATCAGCTCGTGCTTTGTACCGAACATGGAGCAGTTCTTGAGCACAAATGTTGCGAAGAGGTTGCAGGGCATGTCGAGGAAGCCAGCTGCGGCGGCAGCGCAGGATGTGGAGATGCAGAAGACAGAAAGAGCGGCCTAAAGGTTCCTCTCAGGAAATGACTTGTGTCTGTGAGCTCCTTCAGCTACAACCTAGCTTACTATCAGCGAAAAATGCTGTTTGATTAGTTGTGATATCCAATTCAATTTCACTCGACCCATCGCGAGTTTCGACAGTGTTCAAGGGTAGCAATTCGCCCTTCTCTATGTTGCATTTCTGCCAAGCTTGTCGAAGATGATTACCCAGGTAGTTTGCCCTCTCATCCTATTGGCCGAGCCTGTTTACTCTACAACCAGCTGAAAGTGGTCGTAAGCCTGTGCTAACTTTCATACCCCATCACCTGCACCTCAATCTCACGAACGTTGATGGGGCCTCGGAGTTGTGCCATTTGAAGGCATGCCTTACCAGGAAATGTCTGCCCACCCAACTACGCGTTCATATTCAATAGATCAGTTACAGGCGACGACAGAGCTATACGAGCATATACCTTTGAGCTCAACCCAATCTCTTCGTCTGTTCGACCTGTTCCCGTCCGAGGATAGCAAAGCACCAATTCGCGGTTCATTGCGTGAGGTTGATTTTGGTTCCGGAGTAATAGCACAGTATGAAGCACTGTCGTACGTGTGGCATGTCACGCCTGGCAACGGCGTGATTTATTGTGATGGAAAGGCTTTAGACGTTACCGCCAACTGCTTGGAAGCACTTAGAGCCTTGCGTCTCAGTCAAGAGACGAGACCACTTTGGATAGATGCCATTTGCATCGATCAACGAGAGAATGACAGAAGTATAAGAGAGCGGAATAACCAGGTCGCCATCATGGGATTTATTTACGGGAACGCTGCCACAGTCATATCTTGGCTTGGTCCTAGTATGAGAGGTCTGCGGCAACTGGTTGCCCTTGTGGTTGCTTTGCGCAAGCTCGATGATTTATGTGAGAGAAGAACCGTATCGACAAAAGTTTTGAGGCCAGTCCTCCTACAGATGAGGAAATCATTGAAGTGTGAGTCGAGGGGCATAATTGGTGTTTTGATATTTCAGAGTTAATATTGAATTAGTCCTTATGAAACACCACCATGCGAAAGAAGCCCTGGACAACGTATTGCAAAATCCTTGGTGGAGTCGCTCATGGACTTTACAAGAGCATGTTTTGGCTCAAGAGTGGGCATTTCTCTGTGGACGTATTAGGATCCCTTCTACACTCTTGGCTCTTGCCGTGTCGGAAATCCGTGAGAGCGGCTCTTTCATTGTGCTCTTTTCGTCCTTTTCCAAGCGCTTGCTGTTCTCATCAGAGTTTAGTCAACGTCGCTCTCAGGCCAGTATCAACAAGTTGACGCTCGAGCTTGTGACGCTTCCATTTCATTTAGAGACGTCGAAGCCGGTCGATAAAATATACTCTATCTTTTCAATCTTGAAGTTATTGGATATCGACCTCCCCGAACCAGACTACCGTAAAAGCTTGGAGCAAGTCTACGGGGAGGTCCTGGTGGCGCTTATCCGGGCTCAACAGAATCTAGCCTTGATGCTTTATGCGACTCGCTGGCCGGACACCAGCGCCCTGCCATCCTGGGTACCCGACTGGAGACACCCATTTACAATATTAATAGACATGCTCAGCACAATCTATGTCTCCCCTGAAGATGGCAGGTTTGACTTCACATCGGCTTGCCCTCCTGGATAAGTGTTTTGGATCGATTACCGGCCTGGTATTCTCTGCACCCATGGAAGGTGTTTAGGCACGATGGTGTACAGCAAATATGCGCTTGAAGTCGAGGATACCGAAACTGCTGCGTTTGTAGATGTTAGTCGAGATTGGTGTCAACAAGTCGAGCAAAGAGTCACCTCCTATCCCACCGGTGAAGACATTTACCTGGCGTTCTTCAAAACCTTGATGTTCAAAAGACCCGATTTCCTAGTATTTGATGAACAGGGAATGGCGATGTTCTATAAGTGGGTGGAAACAATGCAATATCCCGAGGATCCCAATCCGCACTCAGCGCCTCGTGGTGTAGAGACATTGTGGGATAAAGACGCCTTCGCTCTGAAGTTCGTAGAAATGACTAAGGGGATTGACGGTACACGGCTGGGGAATATCTACAAGATACATCGATATGTCTACGATTATACACGCTTCCACTCTTTCTCCATTTTCGACTCGGGGTACATGAGCCTTAGCTTACTATGCTCTCGCCCCGGTGATCAAGTTTTCCTGATACCTGGATCACAGTGGCCGTTGATATTACGCCCGGATGGAGACTCATACCGCTTCGTGGGGCCTGCATACGTGCATGGAGTCATGAATGGAGAAGCATGGGACAAGGCCGAACCTCTGAAGGAGCTCCATCTCATCTAAAGATGCTCATCGTAATGAAGCATTGAACTCTGAAGGACAGTTATGAGCTATGACCAAGTCGACTGCAATACCCCAGGGGTCGGATCCGACATTGGCCAGACCCTTGGACGAGGCCCCGTTCTCAGCGATAGTTGTTGGCAGCTACAGCAAACGCTCACAGTCGGTACCAAGCACACAGGGACGTTACGCCTCTATCGTAGGTGGAGAGACAACGTGCCGTGCATGCGAGTCAAGAGGCGTACCAACTACCCTATGGCGTGGCGGATTTTATTGGCTGTTGGGAAGAGCGAGTCAGTACCGGGAACTATGTACCTCAGATGGATTCACCAGATGGTTTGGAATGCAAGGCTTCACTGGCAGCCGCTTTCATGGGCTGACAGGAGAACCGAAAGCGATGCCACCCACACACTCGGGTCGAGCATATCGAAACTACCTACAATATCGTGTATCTTTGGAAATACGCATGTTTTAAGTTCAAGACAAACGAATTGTAGTGGGCTTTCACGGCATTTGTGGTGTTTCTTCGCCTACGCCATGAGGCGTCGTTAATCCAGATGTCACATTATATAAGCAACTGGGCAGCCACGATGGCAAACCAAAATATGTCATCCATGTGAAAGTGCAAAAAAGGTCTTCTAATGAGGCGCAATTGCCAATATAAATCCGTTTGACAATTTCATTGGCGCGGGGCTATTCGGCATTTACACCAAACTAACGGGAAGGCAGAATGGCAATCCAGCGAGGCAGAGTTGCCCAGTCAAAATGCTCCTGTCGATCATACAGGAAAGGGAGTGCGGATAAAGGTCGCAATAGGGCTTTAAACCAAGTCAACCTATGAGGAGCTCATATGTGCCCGAGTGTGCTTCTGCACAATAGGTGCGGGAGCGACTGACCGAAGCTCGCTGCTTGGTATTACCGGAGCGGGCAAGCCGGAGTGATCGGCAAGGCTGGCCATGGCCAGAATCACCTGGCCCTTCTTGGAGGGCGTTGGAGGGCATCGACCGAAATATTGATGTACCTGCCAGACCTGCTCATCGACGATTGCGGGGTTAATCGTTGCAAGAAAGATCCAAGGAAGGCAAGGGAGATCTGGAGTTACGATGGACCCTCGTCATCCGTCGTATTAAGAACATATTCCAGGAAAATGCAATGGTCTCATTGTGTATGCAGGATAGCAAAGGCAAGATTGGGTACTGTCAAGAAATTGGTCGCGTGTGTTGCCATGAGTCTGATGTGTCAGCTTGGTTGCCAAGGATCAAGGGAGGGGCAATTCAGGCTATGAGGTCACGAGTTGAGGAGCCACTTCACAAGACGAATCATCCTGTAGGCTTTGACTCGTGGGTGAGACTCCTATCATCAGGTGACCGTGCAAGGAAAGGCCGCAGTCCTGTCCTGACTTTTGCTGTGCCTGTCCTGTCCCGTCGGAGAAGATTTCGAAGATACGAACAGGTCCAACAGACATGCTTTGACTGCTGACTACGCAACTTGCTATTCGAAGGGCGGTTTCCAATTTAGGTTGCCGAACGGGTCGGATGTGACAGCGTTAAAATGTAGTCCCCCTTCAATTTATGCCGATTGCCGAGTGCTGTTTTTAGTAATGATTCCAGGCAAGTGTACCGTATCATTCGCCTTGTCGGACATTTTGGAATTTCGCAGGCCTCCTCGCCCCCAAGCGTATCATCTCATTCCCGAGAAGGCACAATGGTTATTGTCTCAGGATTGGATGTTAACCGGCGTGTCAGCGATCTCCACGTGAGTTTCATGATGCGCAAACGTAGGCCATTTGCCATTGTCTCAGAGAGGCCTTTGGGCAGCAAGGCGTGAGCTCTTTAGAACGTTTAAATTGTCGGTCGACCCGACACGTTTGGATGTGGAGCCTCGCGTGGAACAATCCCTATGTTAGTGACCTACGTAGCACGCAGCCTGGCCACACAGACCGAAATGGGGTTCGTCAACCGTTCACCGACTTGTTACACGAGAAGCGGTGGTGGAACGTTCGCCTGTGCCATTTCAGGCATTCGAGGTGCCAATCGTGATATGCCTCGCGAATCACGAAGAGGTGACTGCTGTAAGTTTGACGGCCTGCGTGGATCGCGGTGAAGGGGACACGACCTCGAGACAGATGCACTGCACTGGCCCACTGAACGCGTTTGGGCGGTGGGTTGGCTGGTGCATTGCATCCGGAGGAATTCATTTCGGACTCCCTGCTGAAGATCGCTCTTTGTACGCTTTGCCAATGCATTGAGCAGCTGCGGAGCAAGGCAGTGACTACGGTAGAACCTGCCTGACCAGAACAGCACAACACCCCAAGCAAGGGCATGGATAGGCTGGTTGCATGAAGACATTGGGATCCTTTCTCAAATAGCGGGCTAATGCCGGCTGCGGCGTCTGTTCCAAAAGTCCTAGCTAGGGGAGCATCCCGTCGCCTAAGCGCTGCATCCCACCCTTTAGGCTGCTGTGATAGGTCTTGCCAACAGGCAGGGCACATTCGAACCTGTGGAAAACCCGTGTGGATGTCCGCGGCATCACAGCTCCGTTCTGGCTTGTTCCAAGCTGCCGGATCCGAACCGTCGAGGTACTGTGGAATTGAAAGCAAGGCGAAGACTCGAGAATAGAGACTCGATAATCTCATTGCTGTGGCTGCCTATCTGAAGGGAACCGAAACTTAGAATGCAGCTGTTACCCTTGTGCATCTTTTCAAAGAAATAGCAACTGAGCTGTGATAGCCTCAATCGAAGCGAGCCGGCAATGTTGGAAGGTGCGATAGCAAACCTGCTGCTCACGCAAAGCTATTCGTAAAATGGTCTTCGACAATGACTGGTTGGTTTGAAGTCAGGCCTCACACTAATAAGGGAGGCGAAGATGGTCCGTAGGCCCCGCGACTGCCATGCCAGTAGCTTGTCAGCGGAGCCCTTTGGATTACATACCTCTCTGTGTCCCTCTTTCATGTTATTCCCAGCTTCCGAGGTGAGAAATGGCAGGCATATCGGGGCCGGAGGACATAGAAAGTCAAAGCCTCAGAGGGTCAGCATTTTAGGCTTGCCCCGGGTGGAGGCATACCTTTTTGGGCGGATTCCTGCCTGACTGCATGTGTGCTGTTCGCCAAAACAAGGCCGTACTGTAAGGCAGGCATGAGGTAGATAATGTAATTGTAATCGTAAGGCGTGTTGATGATGTGGTTGTTGCCTCCTATTACGGCGGAGGCTCTTCCTTTTTTTTTTTGTGACGGCGAGGAAGGCGCCAAAGAGCTACAAGGGAAGAATTGGCAAGGGCCCATTTTGACCTTGTCAATCAGGCCCATCGCAACCGCCTTTTCTGGCCCTTTTTGCCATCATCATCATACAACATGCAGACGGTACTTACTTGTTGTGCACTGTGCATATGTAGGTTGGGCGGGGCCGCATTCACGGTACGGACCTCCAAATTTAGGCATGCTGGAGGAGAATCGCACCGTTCTTGGCACAGTACAGCTCCTCCCTTTGCTCTCCCACTTTTCAGAGAGGTATTCTTAGGTACCTAGGTTAGGTATGCTGGTATGTTGGCATGTCGAGGTGGACTTTTCTTGGTTGGCTCTTGGCCAGACCAGCGACCAAGCCGGCAGGCGGTGGGCCTGGACCTTCTGGAAGTGGCTCCTGTAAGCAACTGACTGAGTCGCTTGGCTTGACAGTAGGTTCCAGGTTTGACATGATTGACTGACTGATTGAATGAATCGAATGACTGCGTGTGTGAAGGGCTGCGTGCCCAGGTGGACTAACATAATGGGGGATTTCATTTGTGGCTCGCGCCCTGTCTGCTCTCTGCCAGGTCTACAGTGCCTGTTTGTACCTACTTACGGTACCAAAGCTCGCTAAGGTAATGTGGTGGTGCAGGTTCAGGTGCTTCTGTTAGGCTCGCTGGCCGTTGCCCACTGGGTACGTGCGCTGGGCCTGTGCGCCTCCTTAGCAATTCCCTCTTGCCTCCTCTGGCCGGCTGCAGCAGCCAGTCGTGCGGCCGATTTTCCACTTTCCCCTTCCTTCGTATTTCGTGGACCCTCCTCCTTCTCACTTCCTCTCTCTCCTCTCCTCCCCCACGCATTTTGGTGTTCTTTTGCACCTTTGCATTGCATTTCTCCTCTTCCCCATCAATCGTCGTCCGATCAGAACGGACTTCAGGGCGCGATATCTTCATTTGAAGCCCTTGATCATCCTCCTCCCGGCCTTTTCCGTCGCCGAAACCAACCACTTTGACGACAATCCGGCCTCAAACCCTCCCCGTCGCCGCCCTCTCTCAACACCATCGTTACCGGTCGGAGCGAGCCCCCCTCTCGAGCCTCTGAGCCTCATCGTTCCCTCGTCATTCCACACCGGGTTCGACTCAATACACACTCCTGGGACGACTTAAATAATAGGTGAGTCACTCCTCGATTTATTTCTCCACTTTGCACCCCCTTCCACACACAATATTTGCCCTCATCGTCGTGGGCAATTGACTGCTTTCCATTTTTGGCGTCAGGCTGCGTTTTCGTGAGGTGATACCTGCTTCGCCCTTCAGCTCGCTTCCTAAGGCTGCCTCATCCCACTAGCCCCTCCCGCCGCCTAAGCACCTCTCCACTCGGCTCCCCTAAAACCTCACGCTTGCATCACACCGCTCCCTAACCATCAACCTCGTCAAAGACGCTCAGCTGATTAAATTTAATCAAAACAGTCTCCTTAACCAACACCCTTCGACAACCAAATACAGTCTGTCACCCTGCTTCCTTCCTTGCTCAGGAACGGAAGCTCCTCAACATTTCAGCCAAGATGACCACAATGGTACGTGAGATGCACCCTTTAACCCCCTCTTCTTGCTTACCCATCACCCCAACCCTGCGTCACTGGGCATATCTTCGCGATGTGACGGTGATTGTATCGACAAGCACCCATTTGTTCCAACTTGGTTCATGTCCTCTATTCGATGCCTCGGAAACCATGAGGGATGCTAACCGCAGTCTGTAGGATCTACGCGTCGGTAATAAATACCGTATCGGTCGAAAGATCGGTTCCGGTTCGTTCGGTGATATCTACCTAGGAACCAATATCATCTCCGGCGAGGAGATTGCCATCAAGCTCGAGAGCGTGAAGGCCAAGCATCCCCAGCTGGAGTATGAGGCCCGTGTCTACAAGTCACTCGCTGGCGGCGTCGGCATCCCCTTCGTCCGCTGGTTCGGTACTGAGTGTGACTACAATGCCATGGTTCTGGATCTCCTCGGACCCAGCTTGGAGGATCTCTTCAACTTCTGCAACCGAAAGTTCTCTTTGAAGACGGTCCTCCTGCTCGCCGACCAGCTCATCTCCCGAATTGAGTACATCCACGCCAAGTCCTTCATCCACCGTGATATCAAGCCAGACAACTTCCTCATGGGCATTGGCAAGCGCGGCAACCAGGTTAACGTTATTGACTTTGGTCTGGCCAAGAAATACCGCGATCCCAAGACTCACTTCCATATCCCGTACAGAGAGAACAAGAACTTGACTGGTACTGCTCGATATGCCTCCATCAACACCCATCTTGGTGTCGAGCAGTCTCGACGAGACGATATGGAGTCCCTCGGCTATGTTATGCTCTACTTCTGCCGTGGCTCTCTGCCGTGGCAGGGTCTGAAGGCTGCCACTAAGAAGCAGAAGTATGACCGCATCATGGAGAAGAAGATGACTACCCCCACCGAGGTTCTCTGCCGCGGCTTTCCCAACGAGTTTGCCATCTACCTGAACTACACTCGTTCCCTCCGCTTCGACGACAAGCCCGACTACAGCTACCTCCGCAAGATCTTCCGCGACCTGTTCGTTCGTGAGGGATTCCAGTACGACTACGTCTTCGACTGGACCGTCTACAAGTACCAGAAGAACGCTGCTGCCATCCAGCAGCAGCAGGCCCAGCAGGGAGACGACAAGAACCGCACTGATGCGGCCACCGGCCAGCCAACTGCTGCTGCCACCAAGACCCCTGCTATCTCTAGCAACCGTACGCGCAACAAGATGATTGCTGGAGCTGGTGTGGACACTCCGGAGACCAACCGTGCCGTCGGTGGCAGCGACAGGATGTGAGTGTCTGAAAGCCTAGCCCATAGCATTCCGCGTAAGGAATCTTGTTTCCTTCGAGTTTGGTGTGCTCTTAAACGCTGGACTAAGGAAAATGCTGACAAGATTGCTGACTTTCAGTTTGCGATAACAGGCTGCGCTCGGCTTCTAGAGGTCAAGGCGCTGGCTCGGGATATGCTTCCGGCTCTTATCGACCAAAATGAATAATCACTAGCCATCCGACTTAGATTGCTTTTGTGGGAGTACATGTCACCCCGGAGTAGAAAATGGACCATGTCCCGCCGTGTTATGTCCACGGATGCCAACCTGTTGGGTTTTCTCGCGTTTATACATCGCGGCTCGCTGAGAGGGGATCTCGTTTTGACTACGTATCACGACTCCACAACCTATGTCTTATGGATTGCTTTCCTTTTCGTTCTTCGACGTCTCCGGTCTCAAATCTCTCATCGCTCGGACAACCTGGAAAGGCAGTTCAACTAAGCGGGTTTGATCATATGATCAAATCTTCTGGGTAACTGTCATTATCCAGAGCTGTCTGAAAGGCATGCCCGGTATCTCGATGTTTCGAGGTGCCGTATGAGGGGATTTTAGCTTTGATGGGAAACGCACGCACCTCAGATGCTGCACTATCAACGGACTGATTGAGCAGCGTGGATGGAATGAGTTATCCTCTTTAAAGGGACATTCCACCTATTGCATGCTCCGTCGTTGCGATCAACAGGCTTTCCCGTGGTCAGAAACTCTTATCAATTTCCTTATTCATGCTCTTCGACTCATGGTTTTCCTTCTTCGCGTCTGACATTTAACTGGCATCTCGCTTCGGAGCTCGCTTGTGGGGAAGTAGTAATAAGGGGAGAAGCATGGCTTGAACGGTCTTATGGAACATTTTTGCGGACGGCATTAGTACGGCAACGATCACGAAGCCCAAACAGTTCAGGCTGAGACGAGCTACGCACGTGATGAGTTTCGATGATCGGCGACGTTTGGCTTCTTTTGACCCCAGGACGACCATCCAGATCTTGAGTGGAGCTGTCCTTCAGGAGGTCGAAATGGAAGATACAAGCTTATCGGCGCCGGGCAAGTTCTCAACAATTTGTCCGTGTGTCAGTCAGCAACGCTGCTAAACCGCCTTTACTCCACTCCTGATCTGGATGTTGACTTTGGAATTTGAGAATGATACGCTATCCGCTCCTAATTCGTACCCTGGATTGTGCACAGCTCGGGTGGCTGTGTCAAGCTATCGAGCGGGGTAGATAGCAGTGTATTCCTTGGACGTCAAGAACCAGTCCCTCAGTCATCAGACAGGCAGCAATACACGCAAGGTCTAGCTAGGTAGTCTTCATAATTGATATTCGTTTTGCTCTTAGTGCTGCTTCCCCATGTCATCTCTCCGGCGGTGCAGGCATAGCTGCTAGGACTACACGTGGGCCGGCCAATGAATCGCCGTGGAAGAGCCTAACGAACTATTGAAACAGACAGTGCCATGTCGGTAGTCAAGGTCAGTGTCAGGAGGCTGTGGCAGGTCACAAGCGAGGCCACTTCTGGTAAACAGCTGACCAGACTCACAGAGCTACCAGATGGGGAAAGATATAAAATGAAGAGCCCGCCTGGGTGCCAATAAGAAGAATAGTCTTTAGTTCAAACCCACTAAGAACCATTTTTCTCTTCGAGAAGCTTCATTATTCTCGGTGTAGCAATACGTTGTTCAGGCGTTGGGCTGATCTTACACACCGGAAGAATTATCGGACCTAGCAATCAGCCACGGCAGGCAGATTCGCGGCTAGGGCGTAGCTGTCTTGTAACTATAGCTACCTATCTTAGCTCACTTCACTAGAACGTCTTCCCTCGAGGATGGAGGGTTCAGCTCGTCCTCCAGCAAACATGGCGCCATCTACGTTGGACTTGTTTATGCTGACCTTCAATTGCGCAAAGAACCTCATCAATGTTGCCGTCTTTGCATCACACCTCCGCACCGCCCTCCAGCAAAATGCCACGGGCTTGCCGGACCTTGTTGTCTTGTAAGTCCACCCCGTGGGTCACCTAGCTGGAGACCGGCCTCGAACAAGTACAGAAGAGATAAATTAAGCTGTATTACACCTCGTCTTCGCGACGGTGGACTATATTGAGGCTCTAAGGAGCAGGCAATGGGCAAATATCGGGGATGATCATAGCTGACGCGGGGCATACAACAGCTCCCTTCAAGAAGTCGCCCCGCTCTCGTACTCATTCATCGGCTCCTACTTCCTGAACCCGTACTACGCAGCCTTCGAGGAGGCTCTCAATCAGGCAGCATGGGAGCTCGAACCGCCGGCTGCGAACGCTGATGGCTCAGCATTACCTACTGCTTTCCCCACGACATCACAGTCCTCGTCGTTATGGAGGAGGAAGCAACCGTCCTACCCATACCAGCTCATTCGGGCGCACAATGTCGGCATGACCGCCATTATGCTCTTTGCTAAGACACCGGCCGCGATACATCATATCAAGGCAGCAGAGTGTGGGTTTGGTGCTGCGGATATGGGGAACAAAGGTGCTGTGGGACTGAGAATCACCTATGCAGACGCTGGGCTCGACGGTATCGCGGAGGAAGGTGCTGAGACGAGGACAACCGAACTGACGTTCGTGGCGACGCATCTGGCGGCTATGGAGTGGAATCTACGCCGCCGGAATGCCAATTGGAAGAGCATCGTGTCAGGCTTGACCTTTGGCAATCCAAAGGCCGTTACCTCTGGTGTGCCGGATGGTACAGCGGCTGCTGTAGAGGCAACATTCACAGAGGCTTTTGGGGCTACAGACCTGCCGGAGCCTGATTCAGACCTCAGCGATGATGCAGAGCCGCTGTTGGCCCAAGACCCTGACTCCCTATCCCTGACAAAAGAACATAACGATTCACTAAGGGACATATCTATATTCCGCCCAGGCGGCTACCTCTTCGTGGGAGGTGATCTAAACTATCGGATCAGCACGACGACGCCGCCTGCACTTGCTCCGTTCCCCAACCTGAACGCAGAGAGCGAGAACTACTGGCCGAACTTCCTGTCACGCGACCAGCTCACCCAAGAGAAGGCCGCTGGCCGCACGCTGCACGGCATGAGCGAGGCGGACATCACGTTCCCGCCAACCTACAAGGTTGTCGTGCTGCACCACATGGACGGCGCCGTCAACGAGGCCGAGCTGGACGAAGCCGAAGCCAACGAGGAGGCACCGGTCCCCTGGCGCTGGGCCTCGCACCGCTGGCCGGGCTGGTGCGATCGCATCCTGTACCTGGACCTGCCCGCCTGGGTGAAGCGGCGGTCCGGCCTAGAGAAGAGCGAGGTGGCCGTCAAGGCGTACAACTCGCTGCCAGTGGTGCACACGAGCGACCACCGCCCCGTGTTCCTGCGCGTGCAGGTGCCTATGCTCAAGCCTGACGAGATGGGCCTGCCGACAGCGAGCGAGCAGGAGGCGCTGGCGGAGGCGGAGGAGCAAGATCCTCGGCTGAAGCTGCCGGTGCCGGTCGACATTGGGGCGTGGGACAGGCGCGCGGTGGCGAGGAGGCGTGAGATCATGGTCGGCTGGTCGATGTTCCTGTGGAGCACGCGCGAGGGTGCCATGGTGATTGCCACGACGCTGCTGCTTGGTGTCGGTGCCTGGTGGATGTATCAGGGGTTTTGGTGAGAGTCATTTGTACGAGTGGAGATCCGGAGAGATTCATTAGATGATGCATTGATAACTCATTTGTAGAGGGAGAGTAGATGGTTTGCCATGGCTGCATGAAGGGGAAACGGCATGGTTCGCGGGTAGACGAACGATACCCTGGCTTACTTACGAGATGTATGGTTGGCGGCGTATGGGAGTATAGATTATACTAGGACAGGGCTCAAACCAGATTTTGAATGTCTATCGTACATGGATTCGTTGACTACCTAGGTCAGCTACGTGTGCCTATTCCTACTCGTTATATGTGCTCCTCCGAGTACTTGATGGTTGGCATATCTAAACAGTCACAACTCTTTCCTGTGATCCAGATGCCTGCCTTTTCCCTATCGTTTGTCCAAGGCATTGTTAGGCCTGATTCAAAACCAAAGGGCAACTGTCCACCTTAGGCATGAATCCTCTTCTTTCCCTTCTTTCCCATCACCTCTAATCGATGCTCGCACGTACTCGGACACACATCGTGCCGAGGTTATCGAGTTCACTTGGCTCTGCGCACTTTGAACTCCTCTAAAATCTCTCTAGCCCTCGCTCCTCAACAGCCCACCCGGATATCGTCAAATCAAAGGCCTGCCCCCGATCATCCACCCCTTATCCGTTCGTTACTCATGGCAATGCATCGTGACTGAAATGACAGTATACCTCCCACCCACCTATTCAGTCCAATTCAAAAATCCACTTACGGTTGTGACAAGGCCCTTGGCCCCAAAATAGCCATGCTGACATTCCTCCTTTCCAGATGAGAAGTATTCAAAACACGCAACACAAAGATAGCTCGCTGAACCAGCCCGCGGCGCGCCCCGCTCAGAAATCCTTGAAGAACTGGTCGTACTTGCTCGCCATGTCCTCGGTGTACGTCTCCCTGTTGGGGTCGTCCTCCGGGTAGATGTCGAAGCACTGGGCGTCGCCGGGGAAGCGGACGGGCGGGATGATGGGGCCCTTCTGGCGGCGCTGCAGCACGGCGTCCCAGTCGACGCCGCGGAAGAAGGGGTGCTCCTTGACGCGGGCCGCGCCGCCGCTGATGTTGCCCAGCCGCCGCGACCGGTCGACGTTGCAGAACTGCCGGATGATGTCTTGCGCCTCGGGCGAGATGGGCGGCTCTTGGGGGAAGATGACGGGCTTCTCGACGATTCTTGTGGGGGGGCCAAATTAGTGGCTGCTTTGTATGGAGAAAAGGAGGAGGAGGAGGAGGAGGCTGCTTACTGCTTGTAGATCTCGATGGGATTCTGGTGCCAGAAAGGCGGGTAGCCGGTCAAGAACTCATAGATCAGGATGCCGAGCGCCCACCAGTCCACAGCCGTCGTGTGACCCTTGTTATGGATCACTTCCGGGGCGAGGTACTCGGGGGTGCCGCAGAGGGTGTACGTCTCGGTCGGCGCCCCCTTTGTGTCGCTGGGGTCGCCGCGGCCGCCCAGGCGCTTCGCAAAGCCAAAGTCCACGAGCTTGATGTGGCCCTCCTCGTCTAGCAGCAGGTTCTCTGGTTTGAGATCGCGGTATGCCACGCCCCCTTGCTGCTCGTGCAGATATTCGAGCACGAGGACGATCTCGGCGGCGTAGAACTGTGCCATGGGTTCGTCGAAGCGGCGGTACTTGCGCAAGTACGAGAAGAGCTCGCCGCCGGGCACATAGTCGAGAAGAAGGTATAGAGAGTCGGCGTCGGAGAATGATGCCATGAGGTTCGTGATGAAAGGGTGGCCGGACACATCGCCGAGGATCTCGCGCTCATGGCGCACATGGTCGATTTGCTTGAGCTTGATGACTGCAGTCTTGCGTCTTAGCAATTGCTATTCCACAGCATTGAGTTTAGCGGAGGTGTGAAACGAACCCTCTGTCTTCCTCAATATCTTGAGCGCAAACACCTTGTTGCGCTCTGCTTCATTGGCAGGGTGGGATAGTCGTACTAAACAGACCCGGGCAAATGTGCCTGCGCATTGGTTATGAACATTAGCAACCATATACTTCTAATATGACGGGGCAAGTTCAATTCACCTGTCCCCAGCGTGCGGACCTTGTTGAAGTCGCTGAGCTGCAGCTTCCGGGATGTTTTGGACGAGTCGCCGGGATCGCCAGGCACCACGACGCCCTTCATGGCCTGCGCAGCCTCGTCCCGCGAGAGCCCGCTCCCCGCATGATCGACCGTGGCCGGGACGGGGTTCGAGGTTGCGACTTTGGCGGCCATTGGGGGGTTTAGGAGGGTGAGTTCAACAGCCGCTTGGCTGGCGGCAAACAGATATGTGAAGAGTGGAGGACGAGGACGAGGCCGAGGACGGTCGCTGTCTTTTCCAGGACAGCAATCGGGAAAAGCTTCATGTGAAGCCCATGCTATGACTTTTCGTTGGCGGGCCCAATGATCGCAATGCGCTTCGCAGCCCAGCACAGGTTGGGCTGCGGTGGAGGTGAATTGGTCGAGGAGGCGGCGGTAGCTTCGAGATGCGAAACTTGGTTTAAGGCTGTACGGGCAGCGGCGACATGTCTTGAGGAATTGGATGCTGCAATGTTTCAAGAGGAAGCGTACTCTGGATTGGTGGTACCTTAGACTTGGGTCTCAGATGGTGACGTTGGCGAAGCGGCGCGAGTAAGGCAAGGTGAAGAGAGGATTGGTACTTCGCCTGGACTTGAGGAGGGGCGGACGATTGCGGCGGGGCAACTGGAATGGGTGAGGTGTAAGTAAGGTAAGCGTGCGATCGATTGATCGAATCTCGAGGACGCAGATTGGCAACCCGGGATTTGGATTGGGATGATGGAAATGAGATGTAGCCAGCCTTTCTTCACCACTTAGAATGGAGACCGGCTTATCATATCTCTCATCGAGTTGCCTACTGTAACTATAAGAAGTACAAGTATGTAGGGGGAAGGGGAGGAGGATCGAGGATCGAGGATCTCCTTGATCCCACGGCCCGCATAAGGGTATGTATGGGTAGATGGGGGTTATGACGTTTTCCGCTGCAGATGGGGTCGCAGCTTTCTTTAAGTCCCGCCGCCGCCTTTTCATTCGGCCGTCGGGGAGGGCGACGCCGTAACCATATCCGTCCTTGTCCTCTCTATCTATTCTATCTGAGATCGCGGGCCAAATTCGGGGCGATCCAAAGGTACCACGGCGGGTTAAAAGGCACAATACTGTAATCGAAAAACTCTTTGTTGGTCTGTTTCGGCTAGTAGGAGAATATGGATTGAGAAATTTAGTTCATGTATATAAATATGTGAAGAGTCGCATGCACTGGCGGTTGCTTTACTTATTCATCGACAACTCAGCTGCTCTTAAGAAACCGGGCGTCGAGGCAGCTGGCTGGGTTTTACAAACAAGCGAGTGAATTGATCCCCGTCTGCCACGAGGGATTATCTGTCCGTTTGCGGGCTGACTGGCCTTGCGTAACGTGTCTCCTCTGGCTCTGCCTCAAGTAACTTTAGGAAGCCAGCCCTTTCTGGCAAGTGGTAACATTGGGTGTAAGAGAAGCGTCAAATGCCTACTCCGTACGGAGCGATCCTGCAGCTCCAATGCACGGCATATGAGTATTAGTACAGTCAGGAAAGGCACTGATTGATGAGACCGCAGACCAGAGGCCTGGGCCTGTAATCATCAAGCTAATGTTATTGTAAATGGGAACCGTTTCCACGGTCAGGCCCGACCTTTCTTCACTTTGTAGAAAGTCGCCCAGGTCAATCGGCATCAATAAGCAGTATCTGGCGGGTTTGAGATGCTCGGCAATGCGCATCTACTGCATAGTAGATGGTTCCAAGAGCCGCTCATCAACTCTGAGGCCATGGCCCTTCTTTCTCGCTGCGTGCATCCGCCATCAGCGCTCAACTATCCAAGATAAGCCGCAATGTGAGATCCGATGCTTCGGTGGATTCTACTTTGGCATGGGCGCCTAGCAGCGTTGTGTCCTTGAACGGGGCTGAACCTAGGGGATTAAGCAGGTGCCTCGGTGAGACTCCTCTTTGCAATGTCATTCCCTGAACACCCTGAGGCACGGCTGGGTCCATGCTATCATCAGGGGTTGAATTGATTGTCCGGCTCCTCTCAGGAGATTCTGAAACGCAAGGAAGTTGTACGGTCGCTGACCAGGAACGGGGCAACGGCAGCATCCGACATTCGGGCCCGTAAACGACGGAGAAGGCTTAGGCTACCCAGATTCACAATGTCCACTATGCTCTCACTCTCTCTGGGCCGGAATGAAGAACATTTGGATATCATCGTTGCGGTTGATAGTGCTAGGCAGGTCATTTGAGAGCATGGTTATCATGAAAGGTTGCAGGTAATGAGGTAGAGTGCCGTCCGTACCTTGGGGGTTGCAGGGGTTCGTGCGTGGAGCTAAGCTCCCCGCCGACCGCCTGCCCGCCAAACCCGCCCTAGCAGCATTCGGCCTGGTGTAAGGAATCCAAGCACCGCGCGCCTAAGCATGGCACGACCTCAACAGCAAAGCCTCAGCCGCAGAAGACTTATCGTGACAAGCAAGTAATCTACCGTTACCAGCTGTGCACAGAGACATCAACGCGTTATCTGTGCTTCCGACAATCCTAGAATACCTTCCCGCGAGGTGCAATGCTCTAGCCTCCAACGACTACCTCCCACCACCACCCGTCCATCCATCCATCCATCCATCCCTGGCATCCTCGTACGCGCTGATACGTTGAACAACACACCCGACATGCAGCCATGTTGAACCTCTCAAGCTTCGTCCAGAAGGCGCAGCAGCTCCTCGACCCGACTCAAGGGCTCAACCTCACCGATTCCGACAAGAACCCCTCCAAGGCCTTCCTGTTCCAGAATCAGTTCCGTCTCCCCGCCTCTCAGCACCCGCTCTACGAGATCACCGCCGAGCTGACCATCCCGCCCTCAAATGCCACGCAGGGTGACAAGGAGCGGGACCGGGGATATCACTATGCCGGCAAGCTTCACCTATCGGAAGCTTACATGTGCTTCTCCACGACTCCTACGAGCTTCCTATCTTCAGCCAGCACTTCAACCTCCTCTGCTTTCACTGGACAAACACACGGCGGGGGACCCAGCGGGAATGGCTTCACGTTTCCTCTATGTGCCATTCGGAGAGTGGAGAGACTTCACAGTCAGAACTTCCAGGTATAATAGGATTTCTCAAGACTCAAGCACTTGCAGTGAGCTAACCTCAAGGTAGTTTGCCCTAGCTATCACGACGTGGAACGGATTGACCCAGGAAACCGGTAAAGACACAAAGGAAAAGAGCAGCGCAAAAGAACAACGGGTCACAATCACACTAGCAGGAAGCCGACAGGCCTGCGAAAGATTTTGCGACGGCCTCAAGAAAGGACTGCGAGCTGGTGTCGGCAACGTCGGAAAGCTCAAGAAGGTTATTGCCGAATGCTACTCAGAATACCTGCTTCGTCCCGACGACAAGAAGGCCGCAAGTCCCCCGGATGCCGGTCTCGGCATGATGTTCAGGTATCCGGGCGATCCCAAGAAGCTACGGGACAGGGCTAAGATGCGTCTTTGGGCCGAATATCTCCGTGACAATGGCCGCAACATGACGCTTCTCCGCCAGCCTACTTTCCACAAGCTGATAAGAGTCGGTCTTCCCAACAGACTAAGAGGTGAGACCTGGGAACTGACTTCTGGCTCGATCTACCTGCGACTCGATAACCCGACCTTGTACAGTGACACATTGAAGAAATATGAGGGCCAGGAGTCGTTAGCCATCGACGAGATCGAGAAGGACCTCAACCGAAGTCTTCCGGAGTATCCTGGTTTCCAGAGTGAAGAAGGAATCGGACGGCTTCGTCGAGTCCTCACCGCCTACAGTTGGGTCAATGCTGATGTCGGTTACTGTCAAGCCATGAACATTGTGGTGGCCGCTCTGCTCATCTACATGTCCGAATCACAAGCATTTTTCCTGCTCTCTGCCCTCTGCGACCGCCTAGTCCCGGGATACTACTCAACTACAATGTACGGCACGCTACTAGACCAGAAGGTCTTCGAATCCCTCGTGGAAAAGACAATGCCGATTCTATGGGAGCACCTTGTCAAGAGCGATGTGCAGCTGTCCGTGGTGTCCCTGCCCTGGTTCCTATCATTATATATCAACTCCATGCCTCTTGTTTTTGCATTCAGAGTTTTGGACGTCTTCTTTGTAGAAGGTCCGAAGGTGCTCTTCCAAGTTGGGTTGGCTATTCTGCGGATCAATGGCGAAGAGCTCTTGGATTCAACAGATGACGGCGCCTTCATCTCCGTGTTGAAGTCATATTTCGCTCGTCTTGATGAGTCGGCACATCCAAAGTCGGAGAACCCGAAGTTGAGAGCGGTAACTCGGTTTCAAGAGCTCATGGTTGTGGCGTTCAAGGAGTTCTCTCAGGTTACGCATAGCACAATAACGGACTTGAGGCTCAAGAACAAGGATGCTGTCCTAAACAACATCGAGAACTTTGCCAAGAGGACTGCTATCCGCAATCTAGGCCCTGACAGCAAAATCATGAGCACTGATGAGCTAGGGGCTCTATACGATCGGTTCTACGGTGTCCTATATGAAAGGCAACAACGAAGCCTGATCCTGCTCCAGGAACAGCAGAGACGAGCCAAGAGTAGCCGCCCACGACTTGCAGAGGCCGCGCGGCAACACGATGAGGCCGTTGAGAAAGGCCGAGTTGGTTTAGGGCCCAGCACTAGTTTGATGGACTATGATGCTTTTCGCGAGTTTCTTGCGGGCATGTCGAAATGGGCCATCTCTGATTCTCCCACCACACCTCGCCGAGATACTTTTTCGGATAAGGACAGAAACCCGTATTTCAATAGCACGAGGCGACAGGATGCCTACCTCTCGCCCTGGGGAGCAGGTCCAGAACCGGCTGATCATGAATTCCTGCAGCGATTGTTCAAGCACTGGGATGTGGATAACAGTGGGACCGTCACGTTGCAAAACGTGGTCAGTGGCATTGCACGTGTCAAGGGCAAACGCGACATTATGGGCACAATCACCTACTTCTTCGAGCTCTACGACGACGATGGAGATGGCAAAGTCGACCGCGAAGGCATTCTTCGGATATCGGAAGCTTTGCTCTTCCTCTCGCGACGAGGGCTGGAGGGCACGTTGAGTCCATCCAACTCGACCACCATCCTGAGTAGTCTTCAAGACCAAGACGGCAATAGCCCCTCTGGGCCACTGCCTGGAACGTCTGTTAATGAGAGATTTCTGGGCAGTGTTAGCGCTTTCATTAGGCGGTGCTTCGAGTACGCCGACCCAGATCACCCCCAGAACCAGGGCTCAACTGCCGGTATGGGGGAATCCACCCTCGGTAGAGATACCGAGTCTAGCGCGTTTGCCATAGGCGACGACGAGGAAGACGAGGAAGAGGAGCCAGAGGAAGACCTCCTAGATTTAGGTTCGCCCAAAGGGAGTCCTAAGGGGGCCCCTAAGGGGAGGCTAGAAGACGGGAAGAAAGGCGCCGCCCCACCGCCGGCGATTAACATTCCTGACAGGGGCCCCAACGAGGCCCGCCGAAAGGTCTCCAAGGCCCAGTCTGAGGCTGCTAACATAGCGCTGGACCCCGCTAATCCACTACACATGACACTACCCACCTTCCGCATGGTCGTGCTTGCGGACGAGCTGCTCGAGCAGTTCTTCGAATCAAGCTTTCCTGCATCGTTCCATATCATTGAAGGTTTGCCATCGTCTGCACCGGCGACCGGTAACTCCAGCCTAACGACTTTCTCGAGTCTTGGGTTTGGCGCCGGCAAAGCAGCCGCTGCGGCCTTTGGTGGAGGTGCTGGTGCCAGTGGTGTCCCTCCAGCAGCAGCAGGGGCCGGGAGAGGCCTAAGAGGTGTGCTGGACAACATTGTCACCGATGGCATGCGGGTGGCGGCTGAGGTAAGAAGGAGGATGGAGGACGCCCAGCGCGAGCTAGAGAAGAACGCATTGCCGGGACAGAAGGACGAGGATGATGAGGACGAGGACGATACGGCACCTAGGAACTCGTCTGGCGCCTACAGCGGGGACGTGGAGAGGCGAAGCGTGAGGAGCTCAGACCGCGATCTCCTGGAGGGGGCGGATGCAGAAGCCGAAGATGGCGGTGGTGATCCATCGAGGACGCGCGCAAGCACCGCGAGCAGTGGAGAGACGACCGGCGCGACGAGAATTGTGGAATTCGACGGGTGAAGATGGACCGCGTAGAGCTTATTCCGACGCTACAGGAGCTTGGAGGTCGGATAACCTTCACATAATGATGACATTTCACGAGTTGTTGTTATTTCTGGCAGCCGCCTCTCCATCTCGCTTCCGTTCGCAGATATGGGGCCAGTCTAGCCCCGAGCGGCAGAGCAGTGATCGTGATCACTACTGCCTTCAGCCTTCCGCGAGTCGCAGTGTGGCCGGCTTAGTCGCGTACACATTGCCTACAATGTGTACCTGGCTCGCATGTTTGCCGGATGGGGAATGCAGGACACGGGACAGCATGAGGAAGGGAGCTCGACGTCCTTTACCTTGTCTCATATCGTGGGAATAGCGCCAATTGAATTGTCATTACCTTGCCGTTTGTTTGGCAGGATTTGAAAGAAAGCATTGTGCAGAGAGGATGACAGGTATGAGACAGCATCCTCCCTTGGTGTGATATCGCCCTTGCGGCGGCGAGTAGAGCCTGCATAAGGAGGGATTTATGCTTAATCGATTTTAGCAGTCCGCTATTGTTAGAGCCCCTTCTAGCTTGATATCCCTATCTACCTTATGGAGTTGCCCTCAATAATGGATACATACTTTTCTGCGCCGTCCCTCGCTTCACAGATTAAGTTATCGGGAGCTTTACCTTTTCGCCATCTAACCTTGCTAGTCGCCAAGTCCAAGCATTTCGCCCGAAAGCATTCCACGCTAAGGAGGTGAGACACGGGTTACCGAGACACCTTTCATGAGATCGCCGCAAACCATTCCAGCCGGACAATTTTTTAGCAAGCATGGCAATGATGGCAGGTTGCGGAGCCCTGGGCTCCATTATCCCCAGGTATCAATCTGCCCTACAATTTGGAGGGCGAGGCAATTCCCCTGAAGAACGCATGGCGCCCTCTGGTCTCAGAAGCGCGCCCCTAGCAATGGAGTCAGCGAGCCGCCGCATCGGGTAACTTGCTTTGGTGGGGCTCAGTCCCTACGAACGCCGCTTGCAAGGGGAATCTCATGGATGGGATTTGTCGAAGGGGGAGGAACACTCTGATATTGGGCATTCCATGTGCCATGCCGTCTCGACAACAAGTCAAGATCTCATGCGAGGGCTAGTGGCTGTCGGTTTGCTTCAAATAGACCGAACGTTTCTTCCTCCCCCCAAATCCTATCATCTCAATTCTCTTGTCACTCATTACTCGTTTGCTTCTTCTTGTGGCATCCCACGCTCTCTTTTGACTGCTTCGGCTTATTTCGCTCGCTATCCTAGAACCTCTTCTCGGATCACCCTCGTCCTAGCATCTCTGGTCCATCTGCCTCTCAGCATGGGCTGGTTGAGGACGACCGGCGTTGCCGTCCTGGCAGCCGTCGGCTATGCCAACGCTCAGGGCTACTACGGCACTCTCGCGGCTGAGCAGGCTTCCTGCCCGGCTGCCCAAAACTTCCAGAACATTGGTTGCTGGGCTGGTTTGTCTCTCGCGTCCGTTCAGTTTGCGGTTCAGGGAACATACGCCGCGTCCCAGAACCCCAACTACAACTTCCCGGGATATATCTCTTCCCAGACGTCGGGCACTGCGGCCGCAGTCCTCTACAACAACACCGTGACGCAGTATGGCTGCGCTTCAGTGTGCCGAGGACATGGATACCAATACACCTACCTCATCACCGGTCTATGCTACTGCTCTATGGTTGATCCCAGCGCCGTTTCTGGAGCTACGAACACTGGTACTTGCGGAACTACTTGCCCTGGCGACAGTGGCTCAGCTTGCGGTGGTGCATCCGCTGCCGCTGGTGTCACGGTTCTCTACGACCCTTCATACAAGTCTTATGCGTCGTTCTCCACCCAGATTGCCACCACGTCAAGCTTGAGCACGTTGGCCGCTGCGTCGAAGTTCCTGGGCTGCTTCCATGCTCCAGGCTTCCCCAACACGCCCGGTCAATCTGTGACTGGTGCGGCGGGTGCCATCGACCAGTCTGCAACGACCATGGCTGCTTGCTTGTCCACTTGTGCCAGAAGGGGATACCCGCTTGCGTATGCCACACCTACAACGGGTGGTGTCACTTGCGAGTGCGGTACCGAGTTCGGGTATCAATCATACAAGGTCAACTACGTCGCTGGAAGCACCACCTGCTCCGTGGCCTGCGATGGATCTGGCAATGCTTGCGACCCTACCCAGGCTAACTGCTGTGGCGCAACCAATGCTGTTCCTGTCTACATCAACCCTGAGTTGACTGGTTGCTTCACACCTACCATTCCCGGTATTGCCCTGACAGATCCCACCAGCGGAAGTATCACTGGATACCAGTGCGCCGCAGTTCCAGCCTCCCTGACTGCCGCCTCCAAGACCATCTTGACAACCTCGACCATCGCTGGTTCTGCAACAGTGTCCACTGTTTATCCCACTCACCCAGTGTCAGTTGTCTCAGGTGCCAACACGTACTTCCAGCTTGGATGCGCTGGCTCTGCTCAGGCCGTCACTGCCGTTGGTAGCACTGCAACCTTCACTACGGGTGACATCAACACCTGTGCCCAGTACTGCTCTGACAGCAACGCTGCTGTGTTCCAAGTCAGCACAGCTTCTTACACATCGTCATCCTCTGCTACTTTCACCTGCACATGTGCCAATGATGTCCCCTCAACCTTCAATGCCAACTTGATCGATATGGCTGGCTGCGCCATCAGGTGCCCCAGCGGCGCTACCCTTTGCGGTGGTGCCACCAACGTCCTTGTCTATGGCAAGCAGTCTCGCTTCGCGACTGGTTCCATGTCTTCACTGCTGTCCTCAGCCAGTGCCACGACGCTGCCTACCTACAGCTGTACATCCGTGTCAACCTCCAGCAGCGCCACCAGCAGCACTGGTACATCCTCAGGCACATCTTCCACCGTCTCCAGTGGAACTTCGTCGTCTGTCACTGGCAGCTCTTCCACCGTCTCTGGAAGCAGCAGCTCTGCGTCTGGATCTGCGTCTGAATCTTCTACCACTTCCACCAGCTTCCCCACCCTGAGCCCCTCAGGCAACTCAACTGTAGGCCCCACCGTCACCCTTTCCAGCTCTACCACATCAGAAACTGATGTTACCCCGGAGAGCACCCCGTCTGGTACCGGCACCGGCACCGAGGAGCCGACCTTCACCGGCTCTGAGCCCACTGGCGGTCAGGAAACTGGCACCGAGACTCCTACCGGTACTGAGACCCCCATTGAGACCACCCCGGGTCCTACTGGGACAGTCGCCCCAACCAGTGTTACCCCTGGGAGCACAACGTCTATCCCCGTTGCCTACCCCACGCCCACATCTTTCTCTGCTATCTTCGATTTGGCAGCTGGTCAGGCTATCTTGACTGCTCTGACCGTTTGCAACGAGGACGGAACTTCATGCGAGGTCATTATCTACGTCGTCCTGAATATGGGCTGCTTCGTCACACCCACTGGCGAGAGCCCCTTCACTCCCGACTTCGGCATTCCTGACCAGAACCTTAATGCCCAAGAGTGTACTGAAGAGTGCGCCGCACGTGAGTATGGCCTTGCCTCTGATATCTCTGGTGACTGCTTCTGCGGTACTGCTCAGAAACCACTGGAGCAGACCGACGATGCGAACTGCCGCTCCACATGCCCTGGCGACCCGACACAATTCTGCGGCGGTGGTTCGACCTCTCTCAAGCGCCGTACTATCAAGAGACAAAGCGGCCAGTTTGCCCAGATTTTTGCTATCATCCCTGCCGATCAGGGTGGACACCCCGGCCTCCCGACCGTCACCCTCACCTCCAGTACCGCTCTGCCCACCAATGGCACTGCTATCCCCACCGAGACTGAGATCCCCCCCACCGTGTCCATCCTTCCTACCTCTACTGAGGAGACCACTGGTACTGGGGAGACCACTGGTACTGAGGTTGCTCCTACCAGCACCGTGCCTCCCACTGGCTCCGGCCCCATCACTGCTCCCAGCTCCAGCTCCACTCCCATTGCTGTCGTCCTTGGTATACTGCCTCCCAACACTGCCACGCTTGGTCTCAAGAAGCGCCAGGCTGGCAGCTTCATTGGTGGTGCCGGCCCTCTTGCCCCCACTGACTGTACCGAGGCTACCACTTTCGTCCTTGCCAATGGTCAGCTGAGCAGTGGTGGTCAGCTCGTCTCCACTGATCCTGGTGTTCCATACATTCCTCTGGCTGTCAGCGCCACCATTGGTAGCATCACCACTGAGTTTGTCAGCATCAACGGCGAGCTCTTCTGGAACAACGCGGCCTTCCTTGACGGCACTGCTGGTTTCTGCCAGGATGCCTCTGGTCGCGTCTATGCTACCTTCGAGGGTGCCGCCGCTGAGCCCGCTGGCTGTCTCCCGGTCACTGTCGTTGCTTATCCTGGTAAGTTTTACTACTCAATCTACACCTCTCCAAAACATCCTGCTAACCCCTCCCAGCTTACCAGTGTATTGGTGGTGTCATCAACCCCAGTGCCACTCCCCCCAGCAGCACTGCTCCTACTGGCGCCCTGGGCAACGGCACTCTTACTCTTGCCTACCCCTACTACTTCCCCGAGGCCTCTCCTGTTGGCCAAGAGTGCGTCACTGTTGTCGAGGAGTGGGTCGTTGGCGAGACCAGCCTTCTGCCCGAGCCTACTGCTTAAGTGCAGGGAGATGTAGACAGGCACAACGTAAATGGGATGTCAAGATTGTCAAATATCATCCCAGAGTTGCCGCCCCCTTTTTTGCTTTTGAGATTCTATATGGGACAGCGTAACGGACCATCGTGGAGTTCACACAACGATATGTGGAAAACGGAATGGATAGGCTTCTTCGATCGGTTGTCAGGTTTTCATGTGATGGATGGTGCTTCTTTTTTTGACAGGGCTCACGTGGTGACGGGTTCGTGACAGGAGAATAATCTTCAAGAATAGTCTAATATAGTTCGGGTTGTTTTTTATTACTTATGATCTTCCATCGTACCATCTCCAATGTGACCTCCATCGAACCTTCACCCCTAAACCAACCATCTCTATACCCCCGAGCCTCAACCCGACTGTATCTCTGTCTCCCAACCAATTTACATCGTTGTCAGTCTTGTATGAGATTGCATTTATATGACATCCCTCACGGGGTAGACCTTTCTGCTTATTTTTTTTTTTACTTTTTTGGCACATACTTCGAAGTCATTGTATTCAAGGCTTGCAAGCGGCTTGATAATATCAGTGATAGTACGATTGTGTCCTAGAGATCCTGCCATTCGATTAGGTACATCATTTGGGACAAGTGAATCAATGAAATCTGGTCGAATTATTGGAGATGAGCTGAGATTGTTGATAGTGGGCTGGTTCTGCAGTGTTTGCCATGGTCACTGTCGGGCGGCTGTTGTGTTCCCCGGCGCCAGTGGATAAAAGTGAAGTCAAGTGTACAGATGTCGAAGATCTTCAAGATCAATCAGACACGGAAAATGACGTACATGAGAGAATACAATTTGTTGACTGATCGTCTATGTTGTATGTTTTCTCTGATTGTACCGATATGATTGGTATGAGGCAAGCAGATATCAGGTGACATACGTGGTCTGAAATCTAAGGGGCGGGAAATGTTGTTGTAAGCCAGGTTGGTCTGTAGATATTGAACCCACGACATCTAGCTATGTAAATAAATTCATGACAGTCAGTGATAATGCAAGAGCAGAAGACGTGGTAAATTTCATCTCGTAGGTATAAAAGCGCGAAGCCCGACTGCAGACATGCACTTGTTATTTTTTATTTGTATGTGTTGTTAGTTTGAATTATTATTGAAAGAATTTCATTTTCACATATTCAGAAACATCCCACCACCATCTTCCGAAAATTGCACTGATAAACATCAAAATCGAATGAGTATCAGAACGAGAGTGGATTAGACTTTTTCCAAGTAGTTTCTCGCTGTCAAGGCGGAGGTGGAGGATGAGATCCGAATTTGAGCGTCAATCTGATATTTTGCACGAGCCCTTCGGGCGGCCCATCCACCAGCTAAACCTAGGGGATGAGCACTACTTGTTTCCCCCAACCTGGTTCTTTTTCTGCTAGTTCAAGAGCCTCTTGGATCTGATCTAGCTTGAATGTTCCAATAGTCGTGAAGTTGACTTTCTTACCAAGTGGTAATAATCCGGTTTCTACCATCTTGATGAGTCTCGCCGTATGTTCTCGCTCATACATATACCTCCCATGAATCTCAAGACTGTTCAGCATCAGCTGGAGATAGGGAATCGTGACATTCCCAATGCTTCCTCCATTGAAGACTACACGACCGAATGGTCGGACAGCTCCCAAACAAGCTGTAATGTGTGTCGACGTAGCCGCTTGTGGTGGACCTTTCAAGATCTTGTGAGTGCTCTGGAAAATCGAAGAAGAGTCTAAACAACTTACTAAAGTCGACGTAACAATCTGCTCCCGCACCTCCAGCCACTTCCACAAGAGCTTTCGTATCCTTCTCGGCATCACCAGACAAGACCACAGTTTTGATTCGGCCCGTTCCCTTCGACGGTTCGGCGAGTGCGTCCAGTGATTTGCTATTCCTCCCCGCAGCAACGACATTCGCGCCCATGGCAAGGGCGGTGATGACAGCTGCACCCCCGAAACGACCAGTCGCAGGACACACTATGACGGACTCTCCAGGCACGATGTTGAGGGTCGCGATACCGCCGAACGGTACGTTGCAGATCGGCACGAGACACAAGTCTTCGACTGTATATCCCATCTCTCCCAGGAGTATGCTCTCGTTGAGCGGGAACACATTCTCCGTGGGGAAGACGGCGTACTCTGCGAAGCTTCCCTGAGCCCATTGGGCCATGAGATCCGGAGTTTCACCGCCGTGAAGTCCCTGGAGCACGATGTTGGCTGGCTGGTCTCGCGCTCGAATCGTCATGTCGCAGAGGACAAGCTGTCCTGGCTTGAGAATCGTTGCATCTGGCCCAGCCTCGTGCACGCGGGCGATGCAGCTGGCACTTGGGACGATGGGAAGGGAGATGGTGTAAGGAATTTTGCCCTCCAACACGCTCTTCAGGTACGGTAGTACATATGTCGCGAGGACTTTGACGACGACACTGCCTTGGACGGCTGTTGGGATTGGCTTGGTCTCTATCTCAAGGGGTGATGAGAGAGATTTGAGGACGGCAGCTTTTTGAGAAGACATGATGCTCAAGATCACAGTGTTGAATTGAAAAGCCCCGAGTTAGAGAGGTCTCACTTCGGATTCTGGATGGATTCAGAATTGTATCCTCTATCACTTTGTCGGTAAATGAAGAGTTATATCAGATACACCAGCTGTAGATGAGAGTTTCGCTATCTAATGTTTGCTTCCAAAATCCTCTAAATCCATCTCTCTCGTGGAGTTAAAGATATAGCACAGATTACTTCATTAGTACTTCTTCACTGTGCATGATATCATGGCAGACCATGTAGTTGTGTCCTGGTTCTATTGTGATCGCATAGGCGGCTGAATATTACCACCTGCTTACGTTCCGATGGCCGGGGCTCGCTTCCGGCGTTTACATGTGCTAGCTCGGAGCCCTCTACAACGGGTCGGAAGAAATCGACCGAGGGGTTGAATAGGTCTCTAGGGGAGTTCTTTTTGCCTGTAACCCTTATGGAATTATCGTGATGGCTGCTGCCCAAAGTGCGGGCCGTTATCTCCGCCAATCTCCTGTTACCAAATCAATGCCACTTGCATATCATAATGCACGACAACGTCACACTGTCATGAGAAGAAGATGGCGTTTATTTTGCATTTGAACAGAGCAGATCGTAGTTATGGGAACAAGAACTGGGGGGGTCGCGATGTAATTCTACATGGTTTGGCAGAACTCTTCACGATCCTCATAGCCTGCCCTCGCCAGAGCATAACCGTGAGTACACGAAACGCCACAGCACCGTGGATCGGAGTAATGCTGCAATTCCCTGAATTGCTTAGCATAACGTCGCGTAGTCGAACAGTTCTTGTCAGGACACCAGGAGATATAGCGGGACGATTTATCCCTGGTCAGGCCATAGGATTTAGGGTCGAGCTCGCTTAGCCATTCTATATCTGTTGGAGTCAAAACCTGTAGCTCTTTCGAGCCTTCGAGAATAATGTAGCGCTCTACGCGTTTCCACGTGAAACACGCATCACAGTACTGACAGTGAGTGCCGTGGTTCGCGCCGTCCGCCGGCAGGAAGCTGCCGGTTGTGTTGTGCATCGCTGCGTAGCAGAGGCAGCATGACCTCTCGCGGGCCTCTGTCGTCTTTTCGTCTACGTGCATGTGTGAAATCGGGATCTCTGCGCCGAGGCATGCGCAACGATTGGGGTCAAAAGGGAGGAGAAGCTGGATATCATCAAACGAGAAATGTGGACAAAGGTAGTTTGTCGAGACTTCGCCGAACCTCTTCAACCCATCGCTCAGCTGCTGGAAAGTAACGTGTTGCTCTTCGCCAATCTCCGCAACCAATGTTGACCATTTGATTTTGAAGACGGTATCGACAAGACGAGCCTCGCCAACGCCATTCCGTATCTCGAGAGCAGGCCTCATGCCTGCGATGTATTTCGGGTCCAGCGTGATCGGAGAGGAAAATCTGCTCTGCGCAGATATTAAGGGATCATGAGACTCATGCTGGCACACAACACGAGAATCGTCCTCTTCTAGGTCGCAATCCATCTCAAACCATAGCTCAACGTCTGACCATGATAGCTGATTGTGAGCACAGATCCTGACCACTCCTTCCCTGCCGATACATCTACGCAGCGAACCGGGTAATTGTCTCTGAGTCGACGAGAACAGAGGGGCCTGGTGCGGTTCCTCGCATTCTGCGCAGTCCCACACCTGACTCCTCATCTCTGCCATCCTGTAATCCAGCTCTCTGTCACGGAACTTGACGCAGCGCTTGCAGTACAGCAGACGGCTATTCCACACCTTGTTTGCAAGCTTGTCCTGCTCCTTCTCTGTAAGGCAATCGTCTAAATTTGGTCGACTCCAAATGTCCCTAATGCTCCAATGCTCGCATTTATTGCTTCGAAAGTAGTCAAACCGTTTATCCTCGAACAACCTCATGAAAGTCCTCGAGGCATGACGCAACATGTACACATCCAGGTTGGACAGAAACGCCATAATCTTCAGAAGGAGTTCTTCTGGCAACCTTGACATAAGTAGACTGCGGTTGCTGTTATGTCGGTAGGCCGACACCCATTTGTCTTCTGAACTCCGTTTGCTAGGGCCATCTGAGCTTGCCCGCTTGGTTGGAGCGTTGGCAACCTCGGCCATGGTGTTCATACAAGAAACTCAAGAGTGAACACCGGCTCTTGGGTCTTAGGGATTGGGCAAACAACAGCGGATTGGCTTCTCAGTAAAGGTCCACATGGTAAATGCAAGTGTTAAGGAAGTTCAACTTTCACTCTTCTTCTCTCACATACTGACGCGGTGTCTCACCTTAGACTACCGAAAGTCGTACTCTACAGCTTTTCAGTGGTGAAGGGAACATCCCTGCCCGAAGCAAGTCCGGCCGCTGTTCGTTGTTTCGACCCTGTGCAATATGGATCGGTCCATCCCGTGATCCGCTTCATAGCTACCGGCACGTGATACCCCACAGAAGCACCTACCTCGTTTCTACTCAGGGATTAATCGAGAACACATTTCAAATGACCAGTTAGATAGACGGTCACACAGTTGTCAGGATTCGGGATTTGCAGACATATTCGTGATTATCCCCAGTTACCCTGTCAATGCATAGTTGCCAGCTGATGACGGCACAAGAGGTCAAAGCGTATTCGGCGCCAATGACGAACATCGAACCCCTCTTCCCTCCCACCAGGAGGGTGGCGTGTCAACCCATCTCTGCGGGAAGATAGGCCTGCTGACGTGCTAGCTTGAGGAGTTGAGTGAGAGCATGATGAAAAGTCACGGAGCACGCAGACTGAATACCCAGCACAAGAACAAGTTTTTGATTTGAAGAGCTCGATCTTCATGAGACAGCCGTAACAGTAGTAATCTTCTATTCCACAAACTGAGAAACTCAGGACGTCACTTCCATAAACAAGGTCGTCGTCCCTAAATACCGCCCAGCCCACATGATAAAGGGGGGAGCAAAGAAAAATGCCATCATGAATGTGTTCCCTCCTGCTTTCTTCTAGACAACAACTTGTGCCACAACATGGCTAAGCGGCGGGGGGGAGCAAAGGTAAAAAGCCATAGTCGCATCTGGATGATTATGTACCAACAAAAACTGTGCCGACCCGGATCACACACAACCACACACCTTTTTCCCAAGGACGTAAGAAAACATGGGGAACATGTACACCAAGAAGAGGAATGACTGCCGAGGGGCAGACGGAAATACACGAGGTCCACATGATATAAGGAAAAGGGGGGAGGGATGTGATGAATTGCTCCGTGGATACAGCTCTGTTTTTGAAGAGATAGAAAAAAAAGGGGGGGATAGAATGGCGCAATGAAACTTCGTGTGCAAATGAATGAGCCCGCGGACGAGCTGGGTATCTTGGTCCACATCTCTTTCAACCTCCCAACTCTTTCTCTCTGACTGAAATATGCAAAACCAAACCAAGTCCGCTATGAGACTCGTAGATACCGCAGATGGTTGCTGGTTGTCCGCCGTGATGACCTCGATATCAACGAGAAGGCAAATGCCTAAGATAATAATATCGCTTTGTTCTTTCGCTATCCAGGATTCTGTTGACGAACACTGGCATTGAGAGGTCTCCAGACGATTACTTGATATTCTTGAACAAGTCAGAACCAAAGCCGCCGTCATTTACGTCAACTTTTGATTCCAGAGCACTTAGCTCAGGGATCATCGGTGGCGGTGGACCAGCAGGCTTCTTGGGTTCTTCGAAGATCCGACTTGACCTCTTGCTACTGGTGTCATCACCGCGTATCCGGCGGAACCAGCTGCTTCGCTTCGCCTGCTTCTCCGTCATGACACTGCCGTTGCTTTGGCTCGTCGGCCGGCCATCGATGCTACTCTGACCGTCCTGCTCGTACTGCGCATTGAGTAGATTCCGGCTGAAGAGGCGGCGGATGCTGCCCTGGCGGTTTGATAGAGTCGGGGAGACGGGAGCGTCGTCTGCGGGCCGCTTCACGCCGGCCTTTGTGGACGTCGTCACCATCGACTCAGGGGTGTGATTGCCGTTCGCCTGGGCTTCTGATGACTTGGAAACCCCATTGCCGTTCGCCGCCTCCTTGTCCTCCTTGACGGGCGTCTTCGGGCGCTCCTCCTGTATGGGCGAGGGCAGCGGGGGTGGGATGTCGGTCCCCTCGGTCAGCGATCCGAACTTGAAGTCCAAGACGGGGAGCTCGAAGCGCTTCGAGGGCACCGCCGTGACGGTGCTGCCGTTTGTTCTGGCGGGCATGGCTGGGTGGCTTATCGATAGTATCGGAGAATTACGTCGGTGGTGATGGAGGAAGATCGGTGCAGGTGCAGATGCTGCAGCAGGTCTGACCGAGCAACAAAGTTGATGGCTGGAAGAACGTCCAAGCGTAGACCGACCGTTTTTTCGGACCGATCCGAGAAGGTCGTAAAATGCGCTTCTGGCGTGGAAGTGCGTATGTGGTATGTATGTGTCAACGAGACGACAGACAACAGGGGAAGGCGTCGCTCTCGGGTCAGCTGAGCACTTCCTGCAGGCTGGGGAGACTCTGAGGTTAAGGTTCAGAGGCAGACGTATTTGTTTGATGGAAGACCCCGACACTAGCAAAGGACGACGGCGGGTGGGAAAACGTCTGAGCGAAATGGGCTTCAGCTTCAGGGTAGGTATAGGTAGGTGGCTTGTGTGCTTGTTGGACCGACGGTTGGGCCTTGATCACGGTGCTAGTCAGTCTAAGTAAGCTCTTTGGCCGGTAGCTTAGCTAAAGCTAGCTCACGGTGGCCGTTCCGAAAGAAGAAATGGCCAGCAAGATGCCAATGGAAGCGGCTCCTTGTCGTACGGGAGAGAAAATGGCTGATTGAAACACAGCCATAAACAATTGACTGGCAGAAAAAGCTCGAGATGGGCGTTCTGTCTCGCAATCGGCGTGGAAACGGGGGCTAGAAGGGGGCTGGCGGAAAAGGTGGAGAGGAGGAAAACTGCTCCCAGATGGGGAAAGTTTTAATTGCACGGCCGGTGCTGTTGCTGCTTGCATATTGGTAGGTAGGTCTGCGCAAAGACCACCATCCCTCCCACCGCCCACTACGGACTACGGCCGGGGGCTCGGCCTCGATTTCCAAGGTAGCGTCTCTCCTACGGAGTAAGTGCTTGTACGTGACTGGATCATGATACATTCGCGTTATGGGACGTATTACTGGTGTGTGCTATAGTCATATAGTCATATAGAGTAGATAATGTCCTTCAACCAGACGGCTGGCCGGCGTTGAGTATTGGAGGAGGCTTACTCAAGCGACATCCTGGATGCGAGCCGACAATATCTCCCTCGGATGAGGCACAGCTTTCACAGAGACCCTGCCGGTACCGACAATCTGTCACCGAGCCATTCACATCCATATTCAGCGTTGTGCCATGCATGATACGACAGGTGCTTGATTGTGACGAGGCTCTAGCATGGTCACCACTTGAGGCACCTCAAGACGAACAATCTCGAGAGTCAAAAGCAACCAACCCATCAAATGACCAGAATCCAGCTTCCGAGAGGCTTCAGCTCCCAGAGCAGAGAAGACTCTCGGATGAGGCCAATTGACCTCGATTCCGTTCTTATAAATCATCAACGGTCTAACACTACTGAGAATAACCGCATGGCCTAAAGGTGGTAGACATTCTAGAAACGGGGATGGTGTGGCTCCATACACGGACAAGTGCCTTTTAGTCTGGCGGATTCAGGGTCTTGACAATCCCCACGAAATAACGCCGCCTGATAGGACAGCCAACCCGGTTTGCTCAGGCACCGCTTGCATCAAGCTAGACCTACTATGCAGTAGGGAGACCTTCCTGTTCGATCGCAGCACCAGCGTTGGGTGACTTGGAACTTGGTGTGTGTCCCAAAGCCCCTGAAGCGTGCCTTCAAGCTTGTTCCCACGCTGCCGTGATTGGCGGGATCGCTGGCCTCGTTCTGCGGGAGCAGCAAATGGCCAGAGACTTTCAGGGCTGTATCTAGCCCAGTTGGTCACCGTTGACGCTTCATGCTCATCGATCGAGGAAACCGTGTGCGATGTAGAGTAACTACTGCGTAGAAGGACTCGCTGTGATCGGCTGGTGGCATGGTCTGGTGAATCTTCCCGATCATTGTACGCCCACTTCAGAGATCGATGCTCGGGCCAGCTAAGACGTGGTCTTTCTTTAGATCAATAGAACAAGTGGTGACACAGCTGAAGGAGCAAACTCACGATACACAGACTTTATTGCAATGCTGAAAGCAAGTCATGGACCCGACTCGCACACATTGACATCACGAAAGCCATCATCAAGCACCCAGCAAATGTCAAGCATCGGAGGGAACACTGCGGAACGTGCCAGGGAGACGGGCATGCAGGCCTAGTTCATGCAAGTCAAGGCACGCTTGGCTGGAACTGTCATGCGCGTCCGGTGGTGCTATTCACTCTATCCCTGCGACCTGGTCCTCCAAAAACCCAGGAACCACGCATCGCATCGCATGTCATCCATGGCTTCTGAAGCCACGCCACAGCAAAACGGTAGGCTTGCGGGTGCATCCTAGAGACTCCCATTGCCCCTGTTTCGGGAGACCTGTGGCTTCCTGGTTTGGGTGAGGCGCAGTGTTCTCACTGTACCGTTTGGCTTGCTTTCTTCATGCTCCCCAGCGTCACAGCTGTCTCAAACCAGGTTTTCGATTGATGCGACATCTCTACCGCAAACCACCACGTCAGTCGGCATGCAACCGGCCAGACAGGAGGCACCGGTGGCTGAGACCCTGGCTTGCTCAGCACGGCTCGACATTCCTGCCCCAGGCTCGACGCGATCGCTTCGGGGCAATCCAGGGGTGTTCCTGGCATCATGGTCTACCGAGCACTGGGAGAGGTTGCATTTGAGCCTATAGCGATTGGGAGCGATGGAGCGCGCCTCTTATAAGATACGGTAGGCGAGGACATGACTCTGCGCGCGCGAACGGACGCCCTCGTTACGAGATAAGCTCTCGATCTGGCTAATTATTCGAACTATCGACCTTTTGAGAAGCTGTGAAGACGCACAGGTCTGGTACGGATCAAACAAAGACATTAGTGTCTGAAAAGCTGTGCGCCAATCTCGTTTCCTGGCTGACACCCGCGATTTCTTGATATTACGTTGGCACACTAATCGGAAGGGTAGATGAGTGGGATTATGAGAAACAGCTTAGACTCAGGAGAGAAGTTAGCCTCTGCACCTCGTGTTGTCGAAGCTCAGCGGTAAAGCGGTGGGAATGTCGATATCTCATTGCGCATTATCTTCGTCTATAGTAGCAACAACCCCCTGGCGTGTTCCACCAACAAACAGACCGTCAGTCACCCATCGTGACGCCTGCGTTTCTCCGGAGCCGTGTCCGTTCCGCTGTAACTTCCCCGGTCTCCATAGTCGAACAGTGGCACATCTAAGTAAGACCGGCCCGGCCTCATCTCGAGATCATGTACTCATCCATCGGGTGTAGTAGCCAACACCATAGAACATGCATGTAGAACACTAGCTCAGCAAGAGACTGGATGTGTAGAGGCTTTCTTCACAATCAACCGCATCTGCCCGTTGTCGTTCCCTCCTATTTCGGCACAGCATACTGCTTCGTCCACTCTCTTGCCGTCGCGATCGCCGCCTGCTCGTCCTCCTTCCAGGTCTTGGCCACGTCGGCAGCCAGCGGGTCGTCCGGGTTCGGAGCGCCGAGGAGAGCTTGAATGGAGAGGAGAATAGTTCGAATCTGCAGCGCGGGAGACCAGTTATCTGCGAAGCGACTTGTTAGCCTGCAATCTCATGACGAGTGGCAGCTGTAAGTGAGCACGTACTCTTCAGAACATCGAGACAAATTCGGCCAAGCTTGTCGACGTTGGGGTGGAAGATCTTGGTAAGGAATCGAATCTTGGGCGGAGTCATGGGATAGTCGTCGGGCAGGAACAACTCGAGCTTGAAGACACCACCTTGAATGCAACATTTAGTGATCATTCTTCTGTGGCTCAGGAGCACTGGCGGTCTGGCGTTAACTGACCTTCGTACGGCGATGATGAGGGGCCGTGAATTTCGACATCGAAATATCTCAAGTTATCTTCATGTGGAACAGCGCTGATGCCAGGAACACTACACTGATTGTTAGGCTGCCATGAATACTTGTAGAAGATCATGTGTAATACGGTTCAGCCATCAAACGCTCTGTCTCCTTCACGATTCTCTTCGGTAGCGCCATGGTCGCTTAAATTATGATAGTAGACCTGGCGCAAGGCCAGCTGGTGTTGCACTTTGTAGGTTGCGAGAGCGTCCAGTTGAGTACTCTCCCCTTTAGGCTCGCCCTCAAGCTGCCTCTGATCGTAATCTCGCAGATCTGGTTCCCGGTTGACGACCGGCGTTCGCTTGTGGCCAAACGGGTCAAATGACGGTCCGATGCAGAAAACAGCCTCGGTGTGAGACTGGACTTCGTATCGGAAGATGGCAGGTCGGCGTATCGACTAGCTGAGAGAATCGTTGGAAAAGAAGAGTTGAAAGAGAGCGCTGCAGCGAGCCTGGCGAGGCGGTGACAAGATGGCGACAGTGGAAAGGCGTCGAAGAAGCACGATGACCAACACACAATTTCAAAAGATGTCGATGCCCGCCCGCCTGGCCCTCCTGTCCGCCTGGCCGCACTGCCCTGAAAGTGGGCTGCCTGCCCCCCAGTTGGGCTGCCGATAAGCAATCTGGCCGGCATCTTCCGTGCTAATTGAAAGCGCACGTGCCCCTCCATCGTAGATATGTATCTTGACAGCTTATTTCCGCTGACAGTTACTTCACTGGAATTACACTCTTCCATGCGACTCTTCATACCAATGAGCTCGAAAAATGAATAAGAACCGATTACATACATGAGGAAATATATGATATGAATGTGAGCACCGTCAAATATACAGTGATTACAAGTCGATAGGTAAAATCAAGCACGGAATTACGACGGGGCTTTCCAATCATTCTGTTGTAGTCACATAGCCAATATCCAGATCGCCATAGAACTCGGAACCTCATCGAGCTCACAAGAATAGATCCTATATAGCCAAGAGAACCAGAGTAGACATAGCAGGAAATGTACCTGCCAAGAATTTGACCTTTCCTGTAATAAAAAAAAAATAAAATAAAAAAAACCAGAGCAGCTGCAAAGGAAATTTGTACCTAGATAGGTAGATAAGTTGTAGGCTCCATATGATTGGGGCGCGGGGCTTGCTGGAGAGCTAGGGTGGCACGTGCGCTAGAGAGGAACCAGCGATGACCCTGCAGCGACATGCAGCTCATGAGAGATCGTGCATCTTCAGCCTCTACGAAATCCTGAAGAGAAACGACAGCCATCTGAGAGCGAGTTCACGTCTAACTCGAAATACACGTTTTGATTCATCAATGCTTTCGATAAGTAGCCCATGGAACGGCCGATAGGCTGTGCGGATTTCTGGATATGACCATAGACCGGACCTGGGCTGTCTGGTCTTGTCAACATGCCATCGGCTTTCGACCAGCTGAAGGATCCGCACAAGAAGGCGAAGATCATCAAGTCAGCGTTTGACAGCGACAGCTTCGATGCTGATGGATCGATTCACGTGGATGGTCTGGTAGGATCTGCAACCATCTCACCCTCCGGGAGGGATGTTGCCTTGGCATCGTGAGCACTGTCCAGGAGAATGAGATTGAAGATAAGCAAACTGACCACGAAACAGTCCCGATGGTCTTGCTATCATTGATTTAGACAGCCCTTACAACCCACCACGTCGCCTGAGTAGTCACGGACTGCCCTGGCTCGTAGTTGATGTTCAATGGTCTCCTTTTGCCAGGCGAGATTACTGGGTCGCGTCAACTGCGAACCATCGTTGTCTCGTCTGGAACTTGAATCTGAGAGAAGATTCCGCGTCTGGGGCTATTGAACACTCTCTGGAGGGTCATAGCCGTGCAATCACAGACATCAACTTTTCTGCGCAGCATGCGGACATACTCGCAACCTGCGCCGTTGACGGCTACGTCCACTGCTGGGATCTGCGCAAGCCTCGACAGCCGGCATTGTCATTTTGTGACTGGTTTGCTGGCGCCACGCAAGTCAAGTTCAACCGTCAGGATCCTCATATCCTCGCTTCGTCCCACGATCGTTGGCTGCACATCTGGGATGACCGAAAGGCCGCCGAGCCTCTCAAATCCATAAGTGCCCACACCTCAAAGATCTATGGACTTGACTGGAATCGTACGAGAACTACGGCTGTTGTGACTTGCTCATTGGACAAGACCATCAAATTTTGGGACTATGAGAGAGATGATGATGTCCCAGAACGGGTCATCCGCACCGACTTTCCCGTATGGCGAGCAAGGCACACGCCGTTCGGCTGGGGTCTTCTAGCTATGCCGCAGACAGAACCTGGTAAACTTTACCTTTTCGACCGCAGATCTCCCCCTGATGCGCCTACCGACGGCTATGTGGATCCAGTGGCCGTATTTCCCGGACACGGCAATCACAAGGTCAAGGAGTTCCTGTGGAGGAGCAGAGGAGATATTGATGATGGTATTGACAATCGTGAATTTCAGCTCGTGTCATGGGGTTCAGATAATGAATTGCGACTCGAACGAGCAGAGGGGCCGGTTCTTGAATCCGTTGGGCACATAAAAGGAGGCCCTGTAAGGAAGAATCTCATCATCACAAGAAAGGGGGCTACATACAAGACATTCCGCACGGTGGACGATGGTGGCCATCATCGGCGGACTGCTACGATGAGCGACCCGCGTACTGCAACCGGCGGAACTCCATACCGACAAAGTGCATTGACTCTTGGCATGAACTCGCCCCATTACCATCCTGGGCTCACATGGAAGGGACCTTCAATGAAAGCAAGAGTCACAACGGCAAAGAATGTTGACCGAAGCCAGGCCCAAATGGATTGGATGAGAGGTGTCTCAATGAATAAGAGAAAATCGAGCACCGATACTTCTCAGCGAGCGGCTTCGAAGGACTCGTCCATGTTCAGTCCTGGATATCATGACAACCAATGGGGCGAGCCAGAAACTATCCAAGAAGAGTTTCTCCGCATCAGCAACCAGCTACCAAATGTCAAATGGGACAATATCGACATGGATCACCTAACGCTCAATGCCTCACTGAGAGGGCCATGGGGCGTCAGCGGAGAGCTTATATTTATCAAAGTTAAAGTGGACATTCCACATGCGTACCCAAAAAGCAAAATGCCGAAGTTCATCATCGAGAAGAACGCGTTCATGCCTGAAGAGACTTACAAGAAACTCGAGCATGAGATCAATCAACTCGCGACTCAGTTCTTGAAAAGGAAGCAGAATTGTTTGGCTGCTGCTTTCTCGTACTTACTCGGCGAGACCGATTTAGAATCGAGTACATCATTTTTCAAAAATGTGCGCGATCTCGACGATGACTCAGATGGCATGGCCGACGAAAGCTCTAGCGAGGACGATGAAAACGACATCAATGTTGGAGGCTCCGCCGCGATGTCTCAAGAGTTGACTGCCAGCGCCGAGATCGACAATACCCTCGCTCCTACGAATCGGCCTACGATACCACCCCTATACAGATCTTGTGGAGCCAGATTTTCAAACGATGGCAGGCTGGTCTGTTTCTTTCCCACAAAAGAGGAGAAGGCGAAGCTCCTCTTCAGTCCCAGTGACACTCTGAAAGAGCGACCAAAAGGAGAACCGAACTTCGCCGGCTTTGGACGCCTCGCACATGATTCCCCACCTCCAAAACACCGGGACCTGAACGACGATGCCTCTGCCACCGAGGATCAGTCCGACGACTCGGAAGATTCCGACGATAGTTCATCTTCGTCATCGAGCGATTCCGAGCTTACAGAGATGCATAAGGTCAACTTTTGGTATCAGCCAAGCCGGCGTTTTAGAAAGGCTTGGAGTGCGGACGATTCGGTACGCTCAAGTGGCGGCGGCACAGGTGCTGGAACAGGCACAGGAACTGGTACAAGTAGACGACGGCCCGGGCGACCGAAGAACATCATATCTTTCTACGATATGCGCTCAGAACTACCTTCCAAGAAGCAGTTTGCCCAGGAGTATGCCATATTTGGGGACGGGGCAGATGTTTGCGAGCACAACGCTCAGGTAGCTGAGAAGTACGGATATTATGACCTGGTGAATATCTGGAAGTATTCAGCCTTGCTACTGAGATCAGACATTCCTTTGGAATTGCACCAGTTACGACAAAGGCAGAAATCAATCCTCGTCATTGCCAAAGACGCACTCTCGCGATATCGAGACCATACAGCTACCAAGGATGAGGAGCTTCTGACCGGCAGAGTGAAGTGGGGAACTCATCCACTTGCACAGGATTTCGTGAACGATCTATTCGATCACTTCGAAAGACTAGCAGATGTTCAGATGTTAGCCATGCTGTCTTGCATATTTGGCGAAGCATCGACTGAGGATAGCGTGGCATACGCCGAGTCGCATCTGACACAACCCGAAACACCTTTGCCTATGAAGGCACCGTCGTTTTCGCTGGAGTATTTCCCGACCGAAACAACATTATGGAACATTCATGGTAGAAGTCAACCTAGCTCTGCAATCACAACTCCCAGGACGTCACAAACTCCTGTGCTTTTCTCCGACCCACAAAGCCCAGAGGATTTTGGCTGGGGCGGAGATCCCGGATCTCAGTCTTATTCTACCGGCGAGACGCCTCCACAAAGATCTTTGAGGGATAATCTGGGCGATCTCGACCAAACACAAAGTCTATCTACGTCTCCTGATAATAGATCCTTCCGCCGTTCTAACTCTGCCATTACCTCAACATTCACTGCAAGCCTTCCACGGACGCTGACAGGAATCGTATCCTCATCACCTCCTGCTCCTGGTCGGAAGCGACCAAGTCCAGCCGAAACAATTCTCAGCAACCTTACCACAGGAAACATCACTTGGGGCGGTTCGACGGTATTTGGGGCTCCCACACCGTCTGAACCAGCAGGGACTGCGAG